CTGTGCAATAATTCTGATGCTGCGAAATGAGAGAATTAGGAAAAAATGTGTGGCTTTGTGTGCTATTATTGTTTATATTTGTACCGTTCCATTAATAAAAAATAAATGGTTTTCTTCATAGTTTTGTTAAGTCCAACTTTAAATCATGGAAATTTCATAAGCACTTAATGAGTATTTTAGTTTGAGAAATGAGTCTTGTCTCAACCTACATAAACTCTAACAAACCAGTCATCTGCCCCTTGGCTTATTAAATCGCCTTGGCAAAGGGGCTTCCATTGATAGAATCTACAGCCAGAAATGGTATTATCATAAAATATTCTGACCTTTATGAGAATCTATCTTGTTGGCTTTATTTATTTCTGTTCTAGCTGTGTGGGCCCACACTGATTAAGATGGCCATTCTCATTTAGTTTCACTTGTTGGTCTTTAAATTCCTAAAGAAACGTATGTGAGGATGAGTACCATCACTCCGTGTATTTTATTAGAATGTCCCAAATTATATTTTAAACAGGTTAAAGAAGATCAAGTCAAACAAATGGACATAGAAAATAGCTTTATTACCAAGTGGAAAGACACTCAAGTGAGTAGTAATAGTTAGATCTCCAAAGGGAAAAAAGTATATATTTTAAAAAACAACAAGAAAACAAAAACTATCATTGTAAGTAAAGACATTTGCTGTGTTTATTTTCAAGTTTTATTTGAAGGAAAGTAAAACTAATGGGCAAAGGGAACCAAGATTGCATAGTTGTGTAATTCTGCAGCATGATGCATATGTGCAAAATGCCAAAGTATGTTGATGTAAATTTTTCAAAATACAGAAAGAAAAATCAGTTTTAATCTTATAAAAATATCCTTTAGAAAAGCAGTTTTATTTGTAAAAGCACTATTGAAAATGCCAGTGGATTTCATAGGAAGTGTTTAAAGCCAAAAATACTAAATTGAAAATTCAGACTCCCTAATGCTTCATTCCATTATGATTTTGAATATATAAATTCTTTCTTATGTGCTTTTGCTTTGCCTGCTCTTGGATGATTACACGAGTGGAAATGCTTCTATGTGATCTTTGTAACATACGCATATGCTAATTTATGTCTCCAGTTGATTTTTCTAGATCTCCTCTTTCTTTCCTCAGTCAGGTCATATTGGATTTGTGTGTGCAGGTTGGCTACACTTTTTCCAGGGGATTTTTCCGTGTTTGATGACTATTTATTGTATTTGCTTAAAATTTATCTTTAATTTTCTTCTAATAACTAGGAGTTATAGTGAATTCAGGGTACCAATGTAAATAATAGAAATGGGTCAAATATATTCTGTTGATGAGACACACTCAGAGCTTGAGGCTCAGATGCTTTCTTAGTCAAACCCTAAATTCACCTCATTCCTGAAATATCCACTACTAATTAGAATAGTCATCAGAGCTGTCATTCCATATGAAGGAGGTAAGGGAATGCCTTCATTGTAGTGTCTAGCCCCCCTCCCAGTGCTAATACTGTGATAATAATTACATGAAGAAGTATTTCCTCCATTTTGACCCAAAGTAATTAATGCAGCCTCTCAGGGAGTTAGCTGTCACACCAAAAAAAAAATGTGGCTCATTATCAGTTAGCTGTCTTGGATTCTTGCTTTTTTGGGACAGTCTCGGTCATGAAAGAAGGGATTGTGTGAGCCCAAGGGACGATCTTTGGCAGTGTTATCTGTATTGTTATTAAAGTATTAGTACCCTTCTGCATTTTTATCTTTTATATTCATATTGCAATAAAGAAATGAGTCTTGACTGCTTTCTAATTAAGTATAAGCAAAATAAGAAAATAATTTACTATAAAATAGAATACTTGGGAAAGGAAAGAAATGTTGGGAAAAAACCTGTTCTTTTGCTTGATCTTTCCTTCTATTTCATCCAGCTCTCCTCCGTAGTATTTTTCTGACAGTCTCTATGTCTTATCCCTGTTTGAATTTCTTAGGTATGCCTGTTTTTGGCTTCACCCTATGAGTTCATGGTGTTTGCTTTTTTAATTTTTAAAATGTGTCCTTCACTTTTTATGCAAACACAGTGAAAAGTAAAAGTGTCGACTGTATTTTTTCTTTCCTAGAATTTTCATGTAGCACCGAAAGGGAGAGAGAAAAATCGAAAATAAGCTTTTCTAAGCCTGTAGTGTCAGAATAATTACAAACGCTTCCTCAAAGTACATTTTAATGTTTTCCCCACACATTCACTCATCAGTTTTTACTTTAAGGCACATTTAACTTCAGAATGATTGTTTCTCCCTTATGTCCATTTTTTTTTTTAATTAGATGATGGAAATTATTCCTAAGTGGTTACACAACTTCAGGGAATTTCTGAAAAAAGCTGCTCAAAATATTTTTTATAGATTCATTTGGTTCTTTGTTAATCTCCACTTTATACTGTCAATCTCTACATAGCGATAGATTATGTTTTTTATGTTCTGGATTGTACCTTTACTTGGTATGTCTTCTCGGGTATACTAGTGACTCAAAATAGCACTAATGCTTGGCAAAAGATGATTAAGAACTTATTTTTATTATCTACCTTATTTTATCACTTTACTTTTATTTTACCTTGCTCAATATATTTTCTCTATTTGTAGATTTAATACAACTCTGACCTAATTTATCCTCAGATTTCAATGTTTGGACATATCATCTCTGAAAATGTATCAAGACCTATTTTCCCTTTTTGATTATTGGTATTAAGCCACCCTGTAGCTTAGAGCAGAATTATGCAAGGCTCATTTTCACTCCTCATTTATCCTGTTAACATATATGGTGATGGTTCTTACTTACAACTTCTGTTGCTGTAGTCAGCATATTTTCATTGTAGCCAGATTCATTGTTTCAGTTAGAATGTGAGGGTATTTGAGGACTCTAAACTCCTGAGTAAGAGATTTCTAAAAAACCTCGTTGTGACTGTTGTTGCTGATTGTAACATATAGATTTTGTCCTTAAGCAACCATATCTGGAAAACGGGTAACATCATGCTGTGAACAGGGAGATTGGCTCATTTCATTATTATAAAGTATTCAGAAATAGAAGTAGGACTTTCTAATTGTCTTAAGTGCCACATGTATGTTCTTGCAACATACTTACATTTTCTGTCTTCACATCTGCCCTTTTCTAGGTTTCCCAGGCTGGAGATTTGTTAATTGAAGTGTATGTAGAAAGGAAGGAACCTGACTGCAGTATTATCATCCGGGTGAGTCCTAAAGATGGATGCAAAGAGTACTGTTGAAAATCACAAGTGTTAGCATTAATTTACATGTCTTGAATTTTCCATCGGTTCTTATAGCTTACTTTACACTCCTAATTAAAACTGTGACTGATGACAGGATTGACTTTTCATACCAGTATCCTCTGGGAATTCCACTTTCAGTCACTTGAAAAGGGAACATCTCATGTGCTTTAGGTGAAGGTTAGGATTTTCTATAGGTTCTAGAAAATAGCCTCAGTTTAAATTTTTGTTCCTATTCCTAACTTCTTAACATTAGGCAAGTTATTTACTTTAAACCTCAATCTTCTCACCTGTAAAATAAGGAAGTATTACAGTATGCTCAGCACATCACTGTTTAATAAATATAAATATAACTATCATTATTATTCTCTCACCTGTATATCCTAGATCTTAGTTTCCAGTCTTCCAATTTACTTGAATATTAGTAACTCTTTTTTTTTCTTAATTCTATTAATCATTTTTTTCCTGAATTAAAAATATGCTTCTCATGCTACCATATTCAGGACTTTGTCTGCTTTAGGAAGAGTAACAGTGATATTTCAAATTCCTGCTTCGTAACGATACATTCTTTATGAGGAATAGACATTCTACCGTGCAGCAGTAGAAACTCAGCTTTAGCTCCTTATCTTTTTTAAAGTTCAGGATTTAAATAGTCTTAATATTAGATATTTCTGGACTTTAGTTTTGTTAAAGATATATTGTAATTGTTAATTTTTATGTATTTCATAATTGCATATTATGACTCTGTGGCACTGGTTACCTTACTTAGAGCATGGAGCGGAACTACTATGCTCATAGGCTTTGGTCTTGTGATTCTGGCCACATCGTATTTCTTGTGCTGCTGGTGTGATGTTGACAACAGGGGACTTGAGAAAGTATACTAGTACAGTTTCATCAGCACAAGTCCACCACTAACATTACAATTGGTATTCCCAGCACAGGACTTAACTCCACCTACGCCTAAATTCTTTAGTAGCTCACTTTAATTTTATCTTACTAATGAAGCCATCACAACTGAGCAAAGTTTTTGTTATTTTAAGCATAATATTTAGATAAAGGGCTGTCCTGTGTCACCTTACAACTCCAAGTTCTCTTTAAAAGCACTGCAAAAACTATACCGAAATAATCATTAACATTTGTTTAATGCTTATCTCTGCTGATCATTACCTCAACCCAAGGAGGCAGGTAAAGCAGGTAATGTCTCAAGTTTATACGAATAGAAACAGGGAGTTAAAAGCATTAAAATAAAGCCAGGGCACAAACCTGCCTTGTCCTATTCCAAAGCTGCTGTTCATTATACTGCTTCATATATTCTTTAGGGTGATGATTTCCAAAGTGTCCTTTGTGGAGTTCTGTGTGTTCTGAGGAGGGGCGTTGGGTTTTTCCTGGGACAACAAGTGGAGTTCCGGTCCTCCTTTCCTATGTCAGCCTGAGGTGCACTCTCTGCTGACTATTTCACAAATTTGGTTTCTCAGTAATTCATTTTTTTTTTTTAAAGAAAGAGCTGTACTGCTTTAAAAAATGTTAAAACCGTTTGGAAGAATAGCATCATTGAAATAATTCTACCAATGTTTCTACTGCTTAAAGTTCTCCACTTTTCTCAGATGCTGTTTTTTTTCCCCTTTACATTTATACTTAATTGGGCTTTTCTAAATGGAAAACAGTGGACCTCACTGTATAATTAATGTATTCCAAAGAAAACACTCAATTCCCCAAAGTCTAAAAGATAGACTCTAGGAGTTACATGTAATGAAAAATATGTTATTTATATGTGTGCAATATGCTTAAGATCAATAATGGACAGGAGAAATGGAAATGCGAATGTTCCTAAGAAATTTTTTAAACAGGTGCATACTTTTACTGAAAATGTGCAGTTGGGATATTCTAATGCCTAAGGCGTCTTCTGTTAGTTTAGCATTATAACTACATTCTAATTGAAGAAAGCCAGCTTGCTTTTGGCCAGCATGCATTTAAAACTGGCAGAAAACAAAACCAAGAACAAACCAATCAAAAAAATCCCAAAAGTCCCTGAAGAAAATGGTGTGTTTATGCAGTGGCCCGAGGCTTTGAGACTCTTGTAGAGCTGGCCCCCAGGCTGGCACTGCAGACTCTGCCCTATGCCCTGAAATCCTGGTGCCAGCGAATGTTGGTGTCCCACCATCTGTCACTGGGCCTGGCAGGGCACACCACAGACCACTAAAACTCTGGGGCTTTTGGCATGACAGATAGCAGTCAGCTGTGTATAATTTAGGCATCAGGCTGAAGAAACCAAGCCACTTTGAACTCTCGATTATAGAACTGACGAGTGAAAAGTTTTATTCGTGGAAAACCATTGGATTTGCTGTTTTGTGACAGTCGTTGTGTGAGTGACTAGGTATATTCTTCCCTCCTCCTGAGTGATCTAATTGATCACCAGGTGGGAAAAAAATTCTTCCTGATTATGTCTGTGCTGTAACATCTCTGTGCACTCACACTAAAATGTATTAGATCTGAACAGGCTGTTTTCTCCATGTGCTTAGAGATGCTGGTAAGACACACGAGAAGAGACTTGAGATGTGAGATGGTGGATGGCAAGTGTTTTGCCCTAGCATAAGGCTATGCCTGTGACGGACACATATTCTGAAGAAACGTTTCCTCTTTTGCAGATATCTCCAGTGATGGAAGCAGAAGAATTAACTAATGATATATTAGCAATAAAAAATATTATTCCTACAAAAGGTGATATCTGGGCCACGTTTGAAGTCATTGAAAATGAAGAGCTAGGTAAGTGATTTTTGTGCTAGGGTTTTTTAAAATTCCTTATAGTATGAAGAAATGCTATTTTGTGATGTCATTTCTAAGATTTTATGTTTTCTAAAGATTAATATTATGAGTTCCCTTCTACCTCAGTGCCTATATTGGTAAGTTATTACCACTTGAGGTTGCCCGCCTATGATTTTACTCATCAAAATAATTAGATTATTTTATTGACTATCAAAATATAGTGCAAAGCATTAGTCATCTATGTCACTGCCTCAGGAAGTAAGGTCTTTGTATGTCAGGACAAGCAATTTGATTTGTAACAATCTTCTAAATGTCCCCACCACACCATCTTGTTCTCATATGCTACTTATTTAACAAAAAACAAAGAATGTTGATTTAAAAGATTGTTATTTCTTAAACTAATTGTGTTTCAAGCCTATCAGAAGCATATATTGTTTTACTTTTTCCTTTTCATCTATGCTTAGTGGAATGGGTCAGATATTTTGTCATCTTGTATCTCTGATGTGGAAGTATAGAGAGAGCTTTTAAAACACCTTGACTGCCCCGATAGTAAAGTGCTGAATACGCTTAACATTCTAATGACACCATTTGGTTTTAAAGACCTCTAGGAAAAAAAAAGTAGCAGGATGCCTTTGTGCCTTGACCATCTGTCTAGCTGATACCTACGGAGGTCTTGGGACCCTTTCATGCGTAGCTGTCAAACTGCCAAAAGTACAATCTTGCCACCTGCAAGCTCAAGATAAAAATTAAAATTCAACATTGAAATACCCCATCGTGTATTATTAGGAGTGTTGTAATCATTGTTAGAATGAAATGGGATTAGCATATACTTTGTCTTTCATGACTCCATCTTGATGTTTTTATTCTTTTATATCTTTTTACCACACACTTTAAAAATCAAATTTGTATTAAAGCATTTTTCCATATTCACTGTGAAGACTCAGTAACCGGGGCTTTGGTGTTGGGTCACGGTATCTGCTCCACAGTCAGACTCACCCTTCCCCACTCGCAGAAAGTGCTCTGGCCTGTGACTCCTGGGACCGTCCCCCCCCCCAGTGCCAAGTCTGAGGGGTTTGCTTCAGGCTTTACTGTCCCTTGGTGGCATTTACTGTTAACGACTGTTCCCTTTTTCTTCAAAGATCCCCCCTCTGTTCTGTGCCCCTAGATTTTCCTCCAGGCCCTCTAGTCATTTTATCTCATTTGTTATTTTTCTTCCCCTGTCTACCCCTGAGCAGTGGGGGGTCTGCTGCCCCAGTTTGCTGTGCCATCTCTTCTCATCTGACCTGCTCTCTGTAGATAAGCTCTTCCAGTCTTTGTGCTTGACTAACACGGGTGAGCTGCTGTTCCCCAAATGCACTTTAACCCTTCCTGCATCTGGACCACCAGTTTACCTCCTTTAGAACTCAGTCGAAGGGTTTTATTGTCCTTCATCTCATCTTTCTGATGGTGCCCATCGCATGGGTTTATGTTCATCTCTGTCAGTGGGAGCTCCTTGGAAGGAAGGCGGGATTCCCTTTTCTTTCTGTCTCTGGTGCCTGGCACAGTGCCTGTTACACAGTCGCCATACAGTTACCATCTTTTGCAGAAGTGAAACACAGTTTTGTCACACTGGGTGGTTCGGTGATGGCAGTAGTTGTAAGGAAAGAGGGTAGGTTATCAGCTTCATCATTTTTGTGTGTGAGCAGTCACTGCCAGGATTACTTTCTAAATCACAGATGGGATCATATTGTTCCACCATTTAAAACCCTTTTATTATTCCGTCCTTGCCTCTCCACCCTGCCAGACCCAGCTCAGATCCCCCTTCCTCCATGGCGATGCTTAGAGAAGCATAGTTCTCACTGATCATTTTCTGATGATTTGCTTGTAACTCTGTGGTACTGCCCACTGTCTCACTTACAGAATAGTACATGGCTCTGTCCTACACGTGTTCTTTAAGACACATACCATATCTTTTAGACCTTTAAGTCGCTCACTACCTCTAATATAAGGCATTGATATGGATGGAATATATGCTACAAACATCTTGTTCACTTAGGCGGAATGTAAAATAGACGCATTCTGAACCTGAGTGACATGGGTTGTTGCTCCTTGGATTAATGTATCCACGTGTGGAAAGCAGTTAAAAAGGGATTCCTTCATATAGATGAGGAACCACTGGGAGACCTCAAAGCCCTGGTTAGCCTTTCGACAGCCGATTGTCTCCTGCATGCTTCCTTTTTTTCTGTTGTCTTAGGCAATCCACAGCAGAATAATGAATCTTGGGTTTGGGGGGGTTAGCGTCCTCTCTCTACCACCCTTGTTCTCTCAAGGACTGAGTCCAAGCATATCCCTGTGTCACAGCACTGGAGCTCTGCACCTTTGGGCATTGGTCCTCCCAACTGAGGGGGACCAGCAGAATGGATGAGGGCAGGAAGGATTCTGTATAGTTAGTAGAGAGGTTGCAGTATATCTGGAAACACAATGAAGGGATGCTTGCCCTGAAAATGACTGATTATCGACGTGCATGTGACAATTAGCAGATCACAAACGGTAAGACTGGATTGAGGTGGAGTTTTTGTTGTTGGTTGTTTTTGTTTTGCTTTTGTTCCTTCCCTCTAATTAAAAATAAAAATAAAGTTATCTTAATGAAGCTGTAAAAAGACTAGGAGGCCTCAAGTTGTTTTGATTTGTGAATGTCCAAATATATAATCAAAGTAAACATCCCAGGTACAGCAAGCAAGAACACATTTGAGGAGGAATTCACATTTGGCATGGTTTTGATGTTTGATCAGCTGTTCAAGTAGAAATGGCCAGAGGAGAAAGCTAAGATGATTTTTACGGCTAGAGAAGCAACAAAGAGGCCTGTGATTATGTTGGCTGACTGAAGCAGATGGAACCTGTGGCTCCACCTGACCTTCTGAAATGTTAAAAGCTTCATTTCTAGAAACACGCAGGGAAGATAAAGGGAAATGTAAAAAGAGGATAAAATTGAAGGCAGCAGTCACAAGATTGTAGTTGATAGGAAGAATGTCAGCAGGGAATCGGTGCTTTTTCTCATGTAAATGTAAATCCTCCAAGTTAGGGAAGTAACCCAAAATAAATCAATAAATGGATAAATAATTGAACCAGAAGTGCTGGATTTTATTTTAGGCATCTGTAAATTATAAAGCAATAGTTCTCTACCCCGTCATATCCAGTGCCCCCTTTGTATGATAAATATTTTGTAATGTTCCCTTTATTCTCTTGAGATAATGTTATGTTCATTTAAAAAATAATATAATATCCTAATTATAATATAAAATTGAGTAATAGGAAAATATGTAATAAAGCATATAAATGCTGACACACGCCTATATGGTCGAAGATAATGAAAATAGATTCTCACACCTATCTGGAATTACCGTGGATGTGACAACTACACATGCATTAACATAAGCATGTCAACTTGTGACTTATACATCATTAGAAGCATTGCTGTTGTTGGCGAAATGCTCTCTCAGTCCATTTGGGCTACTATAACAGAATCCCATGGACCAGGTGGTTTATAAACAACAGAAATTTATTTCTCCCAGTTCAGGAGGCTGGGAAGGCCAAGATCAAAGTGCTGGCAGATTCCGTGTGTGGTGAGAGCCAGCTTCCCAGTTCATAGAGAGCAGCCTTTTCTCTCTGTTCTCTCAGGGTGGAAGGGCACTCTGGGGGGGGTTCTTATAAGGGCATTAATCCTGTTCATGAGGAGTCTGCCTCTCAAAGGCCTCATGTCCTAATATCATCACATTGGGGGTTCGGTTTCAGCATAGGAATTGGGGGAGGGGAGCAAACCTACAGGCTATTGCAAATAGTGAGCAACTCTTAGCAAGTTCTGACAAAGAGCAATCTTTTTCGGCTTATACGGTAGTCAGATTCCTGGAAAAACTCTTAGAAAGTTCTGACAAAGAACAATCTTTTTTGGCTTCTACGTTAGTCAGATTCCTGGAAAAACAGGTCATGTAAAAACCGTATAAAATATTTTGAGAATTTATATGTAAAGCTGAGTTAGATGCTAGGTTGAGTTAATTTATCAGTAGGTTTTCCCTCTACAGGAGTGTCTGGTGGGACATTTGAAATTTGTACTGGATAGAGAAAAAGTCTTTCTTGGTCTCACTCTTTGAAAGATGCTAAGCATCCTTGACCCACTGTCACCAACCATTAAGACAAGGTGGAACTCACCCTAGGAGAGGCTTTTGCCTTCCTGAAGAGCTCATCTTTTAAAGTATGCTGTTATTTTAATGCTTCACCTTACAGCTGAACCTGTCCTTTGCTGATCTAGCCCCATGTTCTCCAGGTTCTTGACATGCTGAAAAAAAGTGATTGAGGGGCCTCATGTAAGTGGGCTTTTTCATTGAGAGGTTCAAATTTGTGAAACACTTTCTATGCAGCAATATCATAATGAAATGTTTTCCTGATTCGTCCTCATAGCTACTATGATGTGGACGATCTGATAATGTTTAATCAGGATTCTTTCCAGCCCTTCTCTTGATTGATACAGAAAGTGCTGTCACCCTCTGATGTTATGGACAGGACAGAGAGAGACTTCCACAACTCTACGTTTGAGGAAGCCACAATTTTCTCAGGAAATCCTGTGTCATTACTGGCAGAAATTTCATGATGATACCTATAATTTCAAGTGAAAAATGCATAGCTCTCTTTTTAACAAGGGAGGGCAGGGTTGTTCTGTGAACATGATTTTAAACTATTAATACTGTGATTTACGTAGCTAAAGAACTACCTCCATAACCTATTCTTCTCAAATTTTCAGCAACTCTTATGATATAGATAGTGTGCAAATGAGTCATTTCTAGTAATGCCAAATGACTTACATACCATATAATCTGTCTTGAAGATGGTTACAAATGTAACTATAAGCAAAAACTTGTAGGAATTTATATTCTATCAATGTTTGATGACTCAATTTTTCTTGCCTCTTATCTCTTTCATAACGTGGATTTTAATGTCATTTTATAATTACAGTATTTGACAGTCTAATAAACATTTATCTTTTCATCCCATTTTTCAGCTCTGTTTATATGAAGGAACTTGAATCTTCAGAATTTTCATTCTTTTGGTGTATTTTATACTCTGATACTGATGTGAAAAAAAATACAACTTATTGTTTTGCAAATCTATATTTGCCTGTATATCTGCTGTAATTTTTTTCAGTTTAACTGAGAACACTTTAGAGCTATCACAATAGTACCTACTTCTAATGGTGACCCTGTTTAATATAAATGGTCTGATGTTTAGAAGTCTCACTACCAATTTAATCTTGTAATAAAGAAGTCAGCTTTTATTTCAGCCCAGATACTTTTTTCCAGTTAAGAATATTGTTCTCACCCCCAAGCCAACTATGGCACCATCAGTTTCCTTAAGTGCAGGATGTTGGAACTATACGGCTATTATCTCCTGCTACCTTTCTCACTAAGGATAGAAAAGTGCAGGGGAAAGTGTGAGCCTACATTCTTTTCCACTTTGCTTATGTTACCTTGTTCAGTCTTAAAAAAAAATCTTGGTGAATCGATACTTTTTTTCTCAAATTACATGTGAGGAAATCATCATGTAGGGGTTTACATATTTGTCTAAAATACAACTACGTATAGTAATTAAGATTCAGGGCTATAAAGTCAGATAGATTTGAGGTTCAAATCTATCCCCTCACTTGAACCAGGCAAGTGGCTGAATGTCCCTGATCTTGGGTTCCCTTACATATAAACTATGAATAATAATATTTAATGAAGAGTGTCATTGTTAGAATTAGCAGTGGTAACTGATGCGAAGTATCTAGTATATGTACTCGTACTGTCTGATACATAGTTGTTAGTTCAGAAATGGCAACTCTTAATGGGATCAATAGTTCCCCCAACATTGCAAGTAATAGAACCAAGAATTATATAACACCAATGTAAACAGAGTGCTTATTCTATAATTAGTTTTTTATGATATTATTGAGCCTATTCTCTATGCTATACATTACATCCCTGTGGCTTATTTTTTAGCTAGCTGTTTGTACCTCTCAATCCCTTTCACCAATTTTACCTTTCCCTGCACAGCTCTCCCTCTGGAAACCATCAGTTTGTTCTCTGGATCTATGAATCTGTTTCTGGGTTTTTTTATGATTGTACATATAAGTTGGAATCACATGGCTTTTTTCTTTCTCTTTCTGATTTATTTCACATAGCATAATACCTTCTAAGTCTATCCATGTTGTCACAAATGGCAAGATTTCATTCTTTTTTATAGCTAAGTAATAGTCCCTGTGTATATGTACCACATCTTCTTTATCCATTCAATCATTGATGGGCACTTAGGTTGTTTCCATATCTTAGCTATTGCATATAGTGCTGCAGTGAATGAGGGGGTGTATATATATTTTTGAGTTAATGTTTTGGGTTTTTTTTGTTTTTTTTGGATAAATACCTAGAAGTGCACTTGCTAGGTCATATAGTAGTTCTGTATTTAGTTCTTTCAGGAATGTCTGTTCTGTTTTCCATAGAGGCTGCACCAATAAGTCCACCAATAGTGCACAGGTTTCCCTTTTCTCCACATCCTCACCAACACTTGTTGTTTGTTGTCTTCTTGATAATAGCCATCTGACAGGTGTGGGGTGATATCTCATCATGGTTTTGACTTGTGTTTCCCTGATGATTAGTGATGTTGAGCGTCCTTTATGTGTCTGTTGGCCATCCATATCTCTTTTTTGGAAAAATGCCTATTTAGGTCCTCTACCCATGTTTTCATTATATTTGTTTTTTTGATGTTGAGTTGTATGAGCTCTTTATATTTTTGGATATTAACCCCTTGTTGATTATATCATTTGCAAATATCTTCTCCCATTCAATAGGTCGCCTTTTCATTTTTTTGATGGTTTCCTTTGCTGTGCAAAAGCTTTTTAGTTTGGTATAGTCCCATTTGGTTATTTTTGCTTTTTCTGCCCTTGCCTGAGGAGAAATACCAAAAAAAATATTGCTAAGACTTTACTGCTGATATTTTCTTTTATGAGTTTTATGGTTTCAGGTCTTATATTTAAGTCTTTAATCCATTTTTAGTTTATTTTTGTATATGGGGTAAGAAGGTGGCCCAGCTACATTTTTTGCATGTGTCTGTTTACTTTTCCCAACACAATTTATTGATGAGACTGTCTTTTCCCTTTTGTATACTCCTGCCTCCTTTGTCATAAATTAATTGACCATATAAGCATGGGTTAATTTCTGGGCTTTGTGTTCTATTCCATTGATCTATGTGTCTGTTTTTGTGCCAGTACAATACTGTTTTGATTACTGTAACTTTGTATTATAGATTGAAATCTGGGAGCATGGTATCTGTAACTTTGTTCTTCTTTATCAAGATTGCTTTGGCTATTTGGGGTCTTGGTTCCATATATATTTTAGGATCATTTATTCTAAGGTCTGTGAAAGACACCATTGGTATTTTGATGGGGATTACATTGAATTTATAGATTGCTTTGGGTAGTATGGACATTTTAACAATATTAAATCTTCCAGTCCATGAGCATGATATATTCTTTCATTTATTTGTGTCTTCTTTAAGTTTCTTTCATCAATGTCTTATAATTTTCCCAGTATAAGTCTTTTACCTCCTTGGTTAAATTTATTCCTAGGTGTATTCTTTTTGATACAATTGTAAATGGGATTGTTTCTTAATTTATTTTTCTAATAGTTTATTAGTAGTGTGTGATTGCTGTGGCTAGGTCTTCCAATTTACAATAAGTTCTATTTTTAAATACAGTTAATTCTAATTACAACCTCCATTAGTAGAAGACAACTAATTTATGGGTTAATGAACAAGTGAATTATAGCTTTGCAAATTATGGACAATTATGATCTTTACCAAATCCTTTAGAAAATTATTTAAAGAAAAAATGGTTGATATAGCACAAAAAATTTCTCTCTGGTTTTACAAAGAATTATATTTTGTCTATTGATCCACTTACAAATATTTTCTGTTAATTATAGGCCACCATAGAAATTCATAAGATACTTCATTCCTAAGTATTTATTGACCATCTCTTATGTTCGTATTCAGCACTCTACTGTGTACAAAGGGTATATTTGTAAATGAGGGAGATTTGTCTTTGGCTTTCTCCAATAAGGACAAAATGCACACCTGCTTTAGTAAGCAAAAATCTGGTTATTTAGACTGGAAGCAAAAAATTTATTTTCTTTTTCTTTGGACCTTGGGTTATTGATAAGTTCTATAATGCTATGGTTATAGCAGGAGAGACTTGTATTAGGAGGATATTATATATTTGGTTGTTTTTACTACCAATTAAAATATCATTGTTCATATATAAGTATGATGCTACTGACATTCTTTCTTGTTTATCATTTATATTTCTATTGTAAGCAAAAATGAAAAGCCCAATACTATATGCTTTACATTTAGAAAGGCATGAGAGGGTCGAATTGACTTATATATGGTGATAATTCTGCGAAAGATGCATCAACTTCATGTTAGAGCTTATGTTCTTGGTGCTTCAATTATGCTATTTTTAGTGTACTATAAAAAGGTTTGAAGTTCTTTTTTCCCAACATATGCTTCTGTTGTAACATTTTATTAACTGATTGGCATATTTTGATCAGCAAAACACTTTCCTATGAAGCTTTGATTGTAATTGTAAAATCTTTATTTTTTTAAACTAAGTGCCAAGAACTTGTGATGCATTTAAAAATATGATTGCCTGAAACAAAATGTGTATGGATGAGTATTTATCAAGGAGAAATCTTTAAGATGCCATTAACTTCTTGCTTTTGATCTATTATATCAACAATTAATGTATAATATTGCCACATAAGATTTCTGATTGATATTTCCATTAATAGTTAAACATAAATTACCCAGTGGTATTTTATGATTATTTTCATATTCTCTGTTGAAGTTATATTTTATAATTTTGTATTAATTGACTGAGAATATCAGGTATAAGTTGTTTACCACTATTGATCAGAAATTATAACATGCTAATCTTGTTGGGATAAACAAAAGATTAATTTATATTATGACTACTGGACAAGATTAATTTTGCTGTTTCTTTTACAATTACTTAATTGCATATGCAAATTTGCAGATTTCCATAAGCAAACCAGAACGTTATCTAAATTAAAAAGAAGATTGTGTAGGATACCGATTTGTTGTACAAAAGGGTAGCCTTATTGCTGAGACTTTAGCTAAAGGACAGCAGCTCTGAATTTTTTGTAAGTAGTCGAGTGACAAACAAATGTTCCTGCATAGATTCATTTATACAGTAAATTTTATTATATGCTTAGTGATGTTCTAGGTGTTAGGGATTCTTTTATGTAGTCCTAGTGCTACTATTGTGTAACTTAAGATATGGTTATGTTTATTGTTGCATACAGATCTTTTTAAAAGGATTTTTTAAATGTATAGTTATAGTTGTAAAAAAAGATATCTTAATATATTTTTACTTGATTTTTTTTTTTTCCCCTGCAGAGCGCCCTCTTCACTACACAGAAAACGTGTTGGAGCAGGTGCTTCGGTGGAGTTCATTAGCTGAACCTGGCTCTGCTTATCTAGTGGTGAAGAGATTCTTAACCATTGACACAATTAAACACTATCATGGTAGGTGCTATTTCTCATTGCAACTACGACTGAAATTCAAGCGGCTAGAGGATAATTATTATGGCACAAGTGTTATTTGGGGGAAAAAAAATGAGTAGCTAAATCCAGAATCAACTGACCTAGTAATATTGACTAGAAAGAAGACTATATAGACAGGAGAACCAAGTGCCAGAGTCAGAGTCCCTGGAGGGTAGCACTGTGGTAATTAGTAGTGGGCTAATCGGATGGTACCATGTTAAGGAGTTTGGAAGGAATGGTTTATGCCATGTTTATGTGTTTTCCTAATTTTTAGATAGATGGTAAATCTTGTTCCTGAATTATGTTTATATCTGAAAGTTCTCTGGGCGTTTAATAAATACAAGTTATGCCAACTCTGAGATCAAGTGCTTGTTATCATTCTCACTTATTTTCAGTGATAGAGGAAAACAAATAATAATTATAAACACTTATTATTACTAATAAGTACATAATAAATGCCTCCGATAAGGATACTTGCCGTCCAAATGGGAGGAGACATATGCACATGTAAGGTTAAATAAGAAGTTAGCTAGAAGAAGGAAATCATATAAGACAACCTCTGAATTTGTTTGAGATATCAGAAAACTTTTATTCTGAAACTTTGATTCTTCTGTTGTATTGCCATATTAGAAAAAACTTTCCTGCCTGCCAGCACTGAATGTAAAACAACCCCAAAAGCAAAAAAAATCAGGCTTTATAAGATGAAATTTACTACAACTTTTATAATTAATAGTATAACTATTATTATTTAATCACATATTAACTCAGCTCTATTAATATATTAATCATTGTATCATCTATAACAATCTAATCACATGTTATTCATTCGCTGAGCTCTGTACACACCAAATCCCATTTAAACTTTGTAAAATATCTTTGTGAGTTATATCATCATTGGAATTTTACATATTGGATTTGAGAACAGATTGGTCTTACTTCTAATAATAATAAAAAAAAAAAGGTGGGATGTTGACACAGCTCTTAAATGCTGTAAACCTACTACTTAGTATAATTGCGGGTTCTCTAGCTAATATTCATAAATGAGTAAATTCTAAATTGTGCCCAAGATAATCTGATAAATTTCTGGTGTCATGATAATGTTTTAACCTGTTTTGGCTGCAATAACAAAGTGCGACAGAGCGGGTAGCTTGTAAACAACAGGGATTTATTTCTCACTGTCTAGAGACTGGAAGTCTGAGCTCAGGATGCCAGGATGCTTGGGTTCTGGTCAGAGCCTTCTTCCAGGTTGCGCTCTTGTATTCTCTTGGAGGAGAGCAGAGGCAGGAGGCTGAGTTTCTTGAGACCCTAATAAGGTTACTAATCCCATTCAGGAGGGCTCCTACCTGCTAATACCGTCCCATTGGGAGGTTTGGAAAGACACATACATTCCGTCCATATTGCTGCCCTGTATGTTTTATACTCACATGAAAATATTCTTATGAAATGCAAGCAATGTAACAGCTTCTGTGCCATTCTGGCCTACTTGTATCTAAATAAACAGAACAGGTATTATTCTTTTAGCTGTAGAAATTTAGTCTTTTAGAGACCTTTGCCTTATTTTAATTGCTTTAATATTCCTGCATATGATCTTGGGCACATCCTCCCTATACCTATTAAGGATTGCAGTGGAGATCTCTCCAGTCATGTGAATGCAACATGCACCCGGATCAGAGAGCAGTGGCTCTCAGGTGGGGGCCATTTGGTGATGTCTGGAGACATTTCTGACTGTCACGAATGGGTGAGGTGGTGCTTCTGGTATTTACCGGGCAGATACCAGAGATGCTGCTAAATATCCTACAATGCACAGGACAGCCCTGTTAAAGAATTATCAAACCCAAAATATTAGTGGTGCCCATGTTGAGAATTTCTGATTTAGTTGATCTATGAAATCTGTTCTAGCTCTTAAATTGTGTGTTCTTTCATTTTAACATTGAGATAAAGTATTGAGCTTATAAGCCAAGTCCTGTCAACATTATGAAATGTATATAATAAGTTCTCATAGCTTCTTTTCTTTTAGAAAGTAAGTCAACTTCTCAGCTTTTGTCTTTTTATTCTTTTTATTTTTTTTAATTTTTCTGGTGAGAATCTTTCTTTTTCTTTTTCTAACATTCCTCCAAATGTGTAATTCTTCATATTGCAAAACACTTGACACCCACACCTAGAACTAATACCTTACCTCTTGCTTGAATGCTAATGGTCTGGCTATGTGAATAAAAATAAACAAAAATAAGATCTTAAAAGGCTATGATATAAAGGAAGGTTTTGTGCAGGTGGGGTGAGGAATAACCCAAACAAGAATACCATTAAGTGCTGTTGATCTTTGGGGAAAAAATGTTCAAGTTGAGAGCAATTACATTTAAGTACAACCTTTATGTTGTTTAAGGAGAAGAAATGGTAGAATGGCAAACTGTCCATTGGCTCTATCCTAACTGGGTAGGAAGATTGGGCGTTACAAGGAAGCCTCACACAGTCCTACGTGTCTTTTTATGGAGGAGCAGTGGGTCATTTCTGTTGTAAACGCATCAAGCCTCCGTGAGGTCTAGAGACAAAGGCATCTTGCCTAAAACTGGAGAACCCACGCAGTGGAACACAGGCTTAAATTACAGTTTTAGGGATCAGATGAAACAGTCTCTAGAGTAAAATGTCAGTTAGCTTTTGTATTAATCTCGTATTTCCTGCATTCCTCTAACAGGGTGGGAGCTATGACACACGTCCCTGTCTCCGCATGACCCCTACCTCAGTTTGTCAAACCAATATGCAACTTGTTATTTTAATATCTATAGTTCTACCAGGAAGTTGTCCCTTTGCATGAAAAAAAGTCATGTTTTAGAGTAACACTGGCAGAAAATACATAAATTGGACCATTTCATAGTAGTAGTTATGTATTTTTGGTAAAAAACAAAAGTACCTATGAAGTAAATATTTAAAAATACTTTTTTTTTGTTTTCTAGCCAATAAAATTTTAATAAATGGTTTTAATTAGAGCTAGATTTATATTTAGACTCTCAGAGCAAAGTAATCTCTTTCATTATGGTTGCTTCTGAATTTGTGTAAATTTAGGATTGTCATCTTAAAGAAGCTTTGGCCTGTTTGTTTTTAAAATCAATTTCTTAAAGTTGTGATTTTTTTTTCCCCTATAGTTTTATCTTGCAGCAACCTGGAACATATAAATACTTCTTATGGGTTATACTTTGTGGTGGATTTTAGGTTGGTTACATATTCAGTCTGCTTTGTCTGTCTTGCAAATGCCTCCTAAATCAATCATGAACCCCTACTCCAGAATTAGATCTCCATTCATTACATCCACTGCTCCTAATAAATGGGACCTAAAAGGAAAGTAATGAAAGTAAATCAAATGTGATTTCTCTGTCAGTTTGTTAGAAAAACTGGATCATCTCAAAAGCACACTCTTCTTCACAAAAGAAAGGGAACAGTGTTAAGGATTTCTATTACTTTAAGATGTTCTTATTCTAATGAAAGTCCAAGTGGAAATCAGCAGAGTTTGATACAAAAGTAGTTGATTGCAGCTACAATTTCTCTTAGTACCAAATAGCTAATGCTGTTAACATTTTTTTAAAACATAAAGTAGCAATACCCCATCCTTGCATTCTGTTCCTCATACTTGATACCTAGTTGCCACAAATTTTACTGTCTGTCTGCTTGCCTATTTCTGTATCTGTTTCTCTTTCCCTGTATCCACACACACACACACACACACACACACACACTTGCACTCTTGTATTTCATTAATTGTATGATAGCTTTTTTTAATCTTACATAATGAATTGTAAGCATATACTTTTGTTTGACATTATGTTTTCACCACTTCTGCTAAATGAATAATTTTATCAAATAATAAGTTTGGGGGTTCAGGATCGCTTAGGGGTTTTAATTGTCTCAATTTGCTTGCTTTGTCTGAACAGTTTAAAATGTAAACATCACAAGTAGGAATAGATTTAGACTCAACCAGCACTTAATTTCTGCTCATTCATTTAAGGCAATGAGGTAACATACTTTTATAGAAGTATATTAGAGTAAATGAATTTTCTGTTGCCTCTACTTAAAAATCAATTTAATGCTTTTCAAAAGCAGCATTTTATTTCTTAGGAACAGTTTGCACCATTGTCATTATTGTAATGGGGGGTTAACCAACTTGAAAAAAAAGAAAATAGGGCCGGCTGAGTGGCACGTTGGTTAAGAGCTAGCTTGGGATGCCAGAGGGCCCTGGTTTGAATCCCACATATGAGGGCCAGTGACACTGCCCTCTACAGCTAAGATGCTGAACAACAGCTTAACCTGGAGCTGGGCTGCCATGAGTCACCGGCAACGGCAGGTGGGTTGCCATGGGCTACCGTGTGTAGCCAGCAACCAGTGTGAGTGGCCAGCAGCCACTGTGAGCAGCCGTCCAGAAGCAGGCGACTTATCTGCACCCCCCGACCCACCCCAGGAAGAGCGCAATGATGGTGCCAAATTTGGCCAGTGAAGCAACGTCCTCCACAACTAGACTGAAGAACAAAAGGCTAGCAACTTATCTGTTCCCCTTCTCCCAATTCCCCAATAAAAATCTTTAAAAAAAAAAAAGAAAAGAAAGAAAATAGTCCTCAAATTTCTTTTCTACCCCATAATTATGACTAAGTCACTGAGATAGGGAGAATAAAATTTCATTAAAATTGCCACTTAGACTTTGTCATACCTAATCTTATTAGACCATCTTTTATCATTATCTCTTATACTGAGTTAAGGTTCAACATCTCTCTCTATCACAAGGAAACCATATATTTATATCTTCTAAAGATTCTAGAATGAACAATTTTTTGTTGTCTTATTTTAAGTGCTAAAGTTCTTTAAAATTGCCCCCAATGGAATGTAATACATGGGAATCAAGTTTTAATGATCTCAATGGGGAAGCAATGCTTTTAAGATATAAGATGTAACTCAAATGCAGATCCCTGTGGGCTTCTAAATTTAGATTGCTGCATATGGCAGATGCTTGGGAATTAAATTTGCATTAGAATTGAATAGTGCAAAATGCAATTGCTTCCGGCAAATTCAGACCTGGAAAGCTAACTGTGCCATCCACTATCAATGACTTAAGAAAATTTCAGGAAAAATAGTTTGAGCCTGTAAAGCACAGTCTAGTCAAAATAATTTTCATTCCGCTCCCATCAAATCTTTTTAAATCCAAAGATTTTAAAAAGGTTTTAAAAGTTGAGGGTAAGACCTAGCCCACTTCACATGGAAATATTTTCTTGGAAATTGATGAAACTCTTTGATATTCACTATAGAGTATGAATGTTCTGACTTCTTCTAATATTATAATTTAGTACTGAGTAAACCAATTGATAAGTTTCTGTTAGCTCCCTGTTTCATGCAGGAATCTGCTGTGAAAATTAAAACAGTTGTTAAGCATTATTTTTACCCACAAGGAACAGAAAATCTAAATGTATGAAGACTATTTAAATATAAGAGTATAAACACACCATATAGGCCAGGATGTTTGTTTATGGGGAGCTTTCAAGCACAGAAAAGTGGTTCAGCTAGAAAATCATTGACATCTTTTCTTACACTTAATGTCGCCCATTCAAGAAAATACCATTTCTTGTTTATTTTTCTTGTATGTGTTTTTCTTGCATAATAAGACTATATCTTATTATTTTACTCATTAAAAGTATATGTTGAGTAAAATTTTTAAAAATGTAAATGAATAAAACACTTTGTAACTGAGGAAGTCACTGACAAAATTTCACAGGACTGGCAAACTCACTTTTATCCAGGTAGTAAGAGAATGCTTTCTGAAGGGAATTAGCTTCGTATTATTACAGAGACAGCTGTGTGCAATCCGCAGTCTCTTGGTTTGGATGCTCCCTGAGATATTAAGATAGGGAGAATAGAAGAGGTTACTATTGCAGGTGACATAGGAGTGGGGTCACTGAATTCAGTTTTGGATGTGTTGGGTTTTAGTTGTCTGTGAAGTGTCCAAGGGTTTATGTCTAGCAGGAACCAAGGAAGCTATGGAGCACATTGCTTGGGCGTGGTTTTAGCTTTGGGAGAACACAAGATCATACATTTCTGTGTTAAAGTAAGAACATTAAAGAGCTGAGCATAGAATTTCCAGCATTTGAGAGACAGCTGTATCCAGAGAGGGCTGGTGTATAAAGGAACAGTCAGAAAGGTTGCAAGGAAACAAGGACAGCAATGTCATGGCTAATGTGAAATTATGATGTATTTAAGAGCTAAATTATGAATCAAATAATGACCTTTATGCATTCAAGCCATTAAGTAAGTGACTCGGAAAACCATGTAATTTTTTTACAAGTGTAACAGAGCTGAAGATGTAATGCACCCCAAAGCACCTAATTCCTTCAGAGAAAGATTCTGGGGCGTACCCTACTATGTACAGTTTCAGTGAATAGCTCCTTTTTGGCTACTGGCTTCAGGATCCCTTTCTGTCCACTAGTCTTCGGTTCTCAAAGAGGCAGCTCATTGTCTAGATTTTGAGGAGAATGATTTACACTCGAGATATGTTGACACATGTACACAAATACAAATTTGGTATCCTTACCAAAAAATTATTTTTTAAGAGAATTACTTGAAGTGATTGTTGAGTGTGGGACCCTAACAATATTGCACATAAAATACAATTATTGTTAAATGCTCTACCTTAGCAGTTGTACCTTTTTTACCTTTACCTGTTTCACGTGTACAGGGATTTCTCTAAAGCCATAAGAATCCCTGGATTCCTGAGTCAGAATTTCAGGGGAGAGTTTTCCCTGTGTACCTTGTATTGTTTATACGAGTGCTATTCAAAAGAAATATAATGTAAGCTGATTATGTAATTTTAAATTGCCTAGCAGCCATGTTAAAACATATATATACATATATTTACATATACATATATGTATATATATCAATGCAGGTGAAATGAAATTTACTAATATATTTTATTTAAACTCACATATCCAAAATATGATTATTTCAGAATGTAATCAATATTACAAAATTGTGATATTCTTATGTTTTTGTACTAAGTCTTTAAAATCTGGTGTATATTTCATACTTACATATCAGGTGAGACTGACCCCATTTTCAGGGCTTATTAGCCAGTAGCTCATTGGGCAGCATGGACAGGCCTGTATATTATGTCTTCAATGGAGCTGGTCAGGGGGTCTGTGACTTGCCCAGCACCTGCCTCACACATGGTGCCCCCAGAAATTAACTGTAGGCTCCTTAATGGTAGGAAACAAATGATTACTTTATATTATCAAAACTAAAAATATAGACATGTTTTATATTTTATTCCAAATACACGAAAACGTACCTAACTTACAGAAGTAATATTATACTTTACAGAGAGGAGAGCCCTGGAAAGTATCAAAGAGGGAACCTTGAAAATCAAAGAAGAACCATCTAAAATCTTGTCTGGAAATAAGTTTCAAGACCGATATTGTATTTTACGAGATGGATATCTATTTCTTTACAAGGATGTGAAGGTATTTGTACATGGAGTATTTGACTGTGTATACATGTTTGTGTGGGTATTAACATCATTGTATACCTATTTCAGCCCTGTCTCTTGGAAGTCAAGGCCTGCAAATAAAGTGAAATGCATAGTAAGCTGAGGATTTCTTCTAGCCTCTGGAATATGACATTAATGCACTCAGTAACACAGTAGAGAATTCTGTGTATGTCCTTTCTGAGCACGTCACATTTTTTTTTTTCAGGACAGAGAATGACTTAAGTCCTAAAGAAAAGTCTGTATGTTACATAAACTAGCATATCAATCAGCATCTCAGTCAGTGAGATTGACTGAGAGAATGTGTCATGCCCTAAGGCAAAAGTGACTACAGTTCAGCTAGTGGAAATTAATAAGTGCAATTTAAAACCCTGAGATACTCTTTTACCCTTTTAGTTGACTAAAACCAACTAAAATGACTAAAATCATGAGTGGCGATACCTGATGTTGGCGAGGACGTTGATTAACTACAACTCTCATAAATTGCTGGTGGGAGGGTCTAATCACACAATCACCATGTACAACTATTTGGCAGTTTTTCAATAAGGTTATTAGTACATCTACCCCATGACCTAGCAACTCTATCCCTAGGTCTTATGTCCACAAAAGGATGTGTGCAACAATGGTTATAAGCAGCTTTGTTCATAAAAAAAGCTGCAACCTGGAAACATTCCAAGTGTCCATCAATAGGATAATGACATATTCATATAATGGAATAGTATTCAGCAGTAAAATAAGTGAATACTAATGTAATGTGGGCAAATCTTCAAATCCTTGTTGAGCAAAAGAAGCTCAACCCCAAATAGTACCATATGAGTCTGTCTGTAAGAAGTCTACGATGATGCAAAACCATGAATGGAGATGTAGGTTAGCAAGTGTTTGCCTGGGGTGTGGAGAATGTGTGGAGAATTGGAGAACAATGTGTGGAATTGTAAAGAGGAAGAGTCAGTAAGGCGATTCCTAGGATGATAGAAGTAAATGTTCTCTGTCCAGTTTTGGGTGTGAGTTGCATGGGCGTATACAGTAACATCCACTTCCTTAGATTCAAGCAATGCCCATGCAATCATGCTAAATGTACAATGACAGCAGGATCTAGAGACGCTTTTTTTTATATGGAGTTATAAAATTCTCTTGCGTAAACACTGCTTGCATCCTTGAAGTGTGTGGCACCTCACTATGTTTTCTTCTGGAGATGTACAAAGAAAAACCGACTAGTAACGTCTGTTAATATGTTATGAAGGAAGAGTTGATAGGCAGCTTTCCAAAGCTCTGTAGCCCTGTTTCTCCACATGCTTTCACCACTTTCCCTGTATGTTCTTCCAACAGCGAAGCCTCCATGTGTGGGCATAAATGAATCTTAATAGCATTCCTACTTTGTGTATGCAGCTCATACTCACTTTCTTTAAAGACAGCGGAGTGTCCAGCCAGGAGGCTAGTAAGAGAGCATTGAATTCTGCAGCCCTTATCCCTCTAGTCAAAGATCTGTATTGTCTACTGTACCCGGACTCTCACTTTGTTATCCCATCTGATAGACCCAGAAGGGCGTCTGTGCAGGTACCAAGTGACTGTTATCATTTATTATCATTCCTCCATTTTTTTTTTCAGTAGAGGAAGAGTAGACTTTGCAGAAGTCAGGCACATAAGAAATAGGTTATGTGAACTGAACGCATCAGATTTTAAGGTTCGTGAACTTTAAGTTTGCATCTGTGAAAATAAATGATAGACTTCATGGCTGATTATTCTAGCCATCTACAACTGAATCTGATGGAATTTTATTTGGTTTCCATCAGCGGGTCACCTTGGTCTGTATTAGACTGATTTCTTTAATCCTCACCCTTCACAGACATAATATGTTGGTTAAGAGTCACTTTTGTAGTTGAATGCCTGCTTAAGGTATTTAAAAATCCACCTGAAATTTTTAGTCCCGTTAAGGAGCTGATACTTGCATTGTGTAGGAGCAGCAGCATGCTAGAAACTGCTAGTCCTCATAGTAACAGCAGTGCAATCCTACACCAAGTACCATCCAAGTGGTTACTCTATGAAAAGCAGAGTTCCATACATTTCACTTGGATTAGCCCATTTTCCCTTTACAATGACCTTATGAAATTGGTACCATTACTATTTCCACTTTACAGATTAAGAAATGGAGCCTACCAAGATATTATATCACTTGCCCCAGGTCACATAGCCTGTAAGTGACTCAATCCATTCCCAGGTGTCTGACTTCAAAGGCTCTGTTAGGGACTTAACTAGAAAAACAAATGATTTTTGCACTATTTTAAGTAGGTGTTTTTGCTGACAGAACTTTATTTAAAGAGGATGTCTTTTTCATTTAAATAGTACCAAATATTTTCAAATATGACAATCCATACAATTCAGTTTTTTTATGGTGTTTCCCCCAGCCTGATACAAATTTTAAAATCTACCACAGGGAAGCCTATTCAAGGAGAAGTGACTTTTTTACAGGGATTGTTTTTGTGAGTTAAGCAATCTTGTATCCCTTAACAGAATGTGTTTCGTTTTACGAATTGGTATCTTTTTGAAAAAATCATCGTGCTCAATCTAAAGCAATATATATATAAACTGGTGGAAGGTGATGGTATCGAGAGCTTGTCTAAAAAACAGTGCTTTTCTTTCATATTTGAAATAATTTTTCCAGCTTTATTGAGGTATATAATTGGCCAATGAAAATTGTATATACACGGGATGCCAAAAAATGTATACACATGACTTGTATTCATCTTTTATTATCGGTATATATTGAGAATTACAATTTTAATACAGTTTTTATTTTCCTTTCTTAAAATGTGTATACATTTTTTTTGGCACCCTCTGTAGTTACATTGTACAACATGATGTTTTGAAATATGTTGACATTGTGACATTATTATTACAGTCAAGCTACATAACATATCCGTTACCTCACAAAGATTTGTTTTTTTGTGATGAGAACATTTAAGATCTCCTCTCTTAGCAAATTTCATGTATATAATACAGTATTAACTATAGTCACCATGCTGTACATTAGATTTCCAGAACTTACTCATTCTGCATAACAAACTGTCCTTTGACCAACATCTCCCCTACCACCCCACCTCCCACCCCACTCCCAGCCCTGGTGACCATTCCACTCGCTTCTATGAATTTGACTCTTAGCTTCTATATGTAAGTGAGACCGTACAGCATTTGTCAGAAGGACAGTGCTCCTTATTTAAGGACACTGAAGACATTTTATCACAGTGACCTCAGGTTATCAAATTATAGTCTAAACATTAAGTGCTTCGGTTATATTTGTACATCTGTCAGACTAAATTAATGCAAGTGATATTTTAATTTGCACATTAAGACAAGCAGATGAGAGACTTACAGTTTTCCTTTAAAGTTAAACTTCTGTTATTTTCAACACATAATTTTATTTTGCTGGTTATTTTTTCATGATGCTTGTCTGTCCCTTTTAATATTAATGGTCAGATCATTGGCAGTGTTAACTTTTCAAATGATTTTACGGTAAATAATAGTAACAATCTCCTAACTTATTTGAATAAAGATTTGGTTCTGGTTTTGACAGTTGCCTTTAATGTATGTGTGCTTGTGTATGTTTAGAAGTGATTTAGTGAGAAGGGAGTGAAAACTACAAATGGGAAAATGTATTTAAAGAGACTATGTGTTAATGAGAGATAATTTATGAATGCTCATTAACAACAAATTAGGGTAATACACAAGGGAAGATGTATTTTGTTTTGAGAATTTTCCTTGCACAGAAAATGTTAATTAAAATGTTTTCAGACTTGATTTACATAAAAGGTGAGAGGTTTCGAAGAATAATACCATTAAACTCTTAATGGTATGAAAAAAGCAAATGGGTACGGGGGGGGGGGGTCGTTAGAAGTTGCATGCACTAATAAGCAAATTCCTTTTAACCACAAGAGTAATTTTTTAAGCACACTCATTTAATCGGCTTAGTTAAAAACTTTATTTTGAAATATAGTGCCTGAAGCAACACATTAGAGACTTCATAACACTCCAGTATACTGAACTTTTTGAAAAATTCTCCAGAAAATACACATACCTAAAGAGGGAGTTGTAATAAGCAGTAAAGTTTTCTTGCCAAATGAGATTTTTTTTTTGGTATAACTTTCCATTAGGATCCTTATAATTCCTCTTTATGCATATTCAGTTTACAGATTGAAATGAAAAAAAAATTTTTTCCACCATTGCTGGTCTTCTCTCAAATTCTATCATTTGTGTTCTTTTTGGACAGGCTATAGTATAAAGTAATGAGCTTGCATGTCAGAAGTGGCTTGGAAATCAGTTGTATGACTTCAGGCGCTCAGTCTATGACCAAAAGTACTTCTAAATGTAGACAGTCCTGGACTTAGCAATGGGCTGTGTAAATGAGGACTGCCTAGTTTCAGGCACAGCCCTTCTCATTCTCAAATAGGCAAGGCCCATCTTACCCAAACTGCTGGAACTGCTGCCATCACGTAACCTGCTGCCTCAGTTGGGACTGTGTCCGAGGGAATCGCAGTTTATGAGAAGGGACATTAACCTCAGTTGTAATCTGATTTAACCTCTGACAGAGGGGCCAGGAGCCTCCTCCACTGTGCACATTCTTAAGTTTTCCTCTCCTTGACTCTTCTGTTTGGAACACTTACTGCCTCACAGTGCTACCTCACTCTTCCACATTGGACAGTTTAAACTCCTAAGTGGTAACTTAGGAAAGTAGCAAACTGCAACATCAATACCCGCAAACCAGTCCTCACCTAGTATAAAAAGTCAAAACATGTGAACTACCAGAAAATGACTTTAACAAGATGTAGAGGCTTATATGAATAAAACTATAGAAATTTACTGGTAGAAATAAAAACATTCATGTAAATTCTACTAATATTGATTTCTAAGTTTAATGTATTTTTTTTCAAAATCCAAGAGAATTATTTTTAGAACTTGGCAAAAATGATTTGATAATTCACTTCAAAGGGTAAACAGATAAGAAAACATGAAAATGTTTTGGAGCATGAAAAGTAAAATAATTGTGAAATATTATTCAACTATTAAGGTGTACAATAAAACTAAAATACCTTAGAGAATGGGATCCTGGCATAAAGATGACCGGAGATAGCAATAGTGCCTCAAAGGTAAAATTGTATATCACAATTTATCTTTGATAAATATACCATCATAAATGCATGTCTGAAGGAAGGTTTGTTTAATAAATAGGGCTGGGAGAATTGTTAACAAAACATTTCCAATTAAAATTCTCATCTATACTGTATATAAAATATACATTCCAGATTGACTAAAGAATTTAGACCTTAAAAAGTAACAACCTTTCAAGCTACATGACCATGTAGCTGAGCAAAATTAAGGCAAACAGCAATTTGGGTAGAATATTTCAATTGAAAAGCAATTTAATATTCGATACATAAAGAACTAATGCAAACAACTAAGTAAAGAAATGGACATATTGTTGACCAAATCAAAGCTGAGGATTCCTAGCAAATACATGAATATACATTTAACTGAAAGTTATGTCCCCATCAGTTTAGTCAAAATTGTATTCTTAGTCATGTTTCTGGCCTTTGACCCAGTGATTCCATGTCTAGAAATGTACCCATAAAGAAAAAAAATATCCAAAATATGTTTCTTTTTAATTACCTACCGTGTTCATAATAGCAAACATTAATGATAATAATTTAGGAGTACACATCCACTGTGTAAATTCCAGGCCTTATCATTACTGTCACAAAGGCCATTCTTTGGTCAGCAAAGCATAATTCCTCATCCTCTTCTTGCTTACTTTTTTCTCTATATTTCCTCTATATCTTCCTAATCTGTGTTCTCCATGGAAACCAAGTTTTAATTTTATAGACATATTTTCTACCCTTTACTTTTCAAATTTGGCTGCTTTCATAAAGAACAGATTTCATAGTAAGAGTTTGTTTTATAGAACTTGGTACTGATTTGATTTACGTCTTTGTTAAATGGGCTTTTGTGCATTTGTTTTAGGACCCTAACAACTTGGGTATATTGCTATTTTTATGAAATGATATGTTCTAAATTTATAATAGTTGTAATTTCTTGTGTTTGCTATATGCCGATTACTAGACATAACGCTTTATGGGCTTTTTTTAATTGAATCTGTACAATAACCCTTCACAGTAACCCTTTACTTTCTCATTTAATCTTCATTACAACCCTATGAGATAGTCCATATTTTTATTATACCTGTTTGCAATCGAGAACGACTAAGAGCATATGAGGTCATAAACTAATAAGTAGTAATGCAGATTTGCACCTGGGCTCTATAACCCTTGGCCCCTTGATCTTAGTAATAAATGTTATCTGCTTACCACTTTGAGGCAAGAGATTTTCTTGAGAATTTTTAGGATATGGGACTGCTGGTGTTACCAATTATTTCCATGGCTATTATCTTTATAAAATCTATTGCAGGGGATCCAAGGATAAGTATCAAAATGTGTGTGGTTTGGTACTAAGTTTTTAAATTAAAGTATAATGATTCAAGTTTTGCTTCTGTCTGACAACATTCCTGATGGTCAGTGTTCAATGATTACATTTTTTAATATTAATCACAAATAAATATGTCTGGATGTGTATGGAGAATATAGAATAGGTCTAAAGTAAATGGATTTAAATTATTCTTTATAGTCTCCTTTCATGAACTATTAGTGAAAATTTTTATTAATATGGATATTTGAGATAGTTCATTATGTGTCCATACAGGTTCACAGTATAGTTTTCATAATTCTGAAATCCAAAAAGAATAGAAAATCCTAATGCATTTTGTGGCAAAGCCTGACCCAAACCAACATGAAGATATTAGCCTGAATTCAGGCTGCAATAACAAAGTACCATACATAGACTGGGTGGCTTATAAGTGACAGAAGTTTATTTCTCAAAGTTCTGGGGCCGAGATGTGGAGATCAGGGAGCCAGCATGGTCAGGCTCTAGTGACGGCCTTCTTCCAGCTTCTTACATCCTCCCATGGCACAGAGAGAGACTGCTTGTTAGCTCTCTGGCCTCTTTTTATTAGGACACTAATGCTATTTAACGAGGGCTCCACGCTAAGGACCTAATTACCTCCCAAAGGCCCCACCTCCAAATACTATCACATTGGAGATTAGATTTCAGCATATGAATTTGGGGGGGGATACAAATATTCAGTCTATAACAATATTTATAGTCTTTATCTCATACCATATGAAATATCATGCATTTTAATATGGAAATATGAATATATTGGAATACAGGGTGCTGCCCCAGGCAACACTGGCGGTGTAGTGGAGTTATATAACATTGCATATGTATTGTATTTTTAAAATATGAAAAAGTTGAAAAATTATCAGTCCCAATATGCATTTGGCTCCAGGTGTTTTGAATAAGGAATTATTGTGTACGTGTGTTTAAATATACATGTAGCACATATAAACATGCATATACTGGGGGTGCCAACAAATGTGAACACATGACTTGTACTCATCTTTTGTTATCAGTATATATTAAGTATTACAATTTTAGTACAGTTTTTCTTTTCTTAAACTGTGTATACATTTTTGGCACCCTCTGTAATTTATATACAAAATTATCTATTTGAGTTTATAACATTGTAATCAAAACAATCTTCAGTTACTAAAAACTTGATATTACATTCATGAAACATTGGAGAAACTAAACAATTCTAAACCCAATCATTAACACTCAAGACAAATATAAGGATCTTTATAAAATCTGTTTAATTATATATTTTGTTTTCCTTACAGAGTAGTAAACACGACAAAATGTTTTCTCTGAGTTCAATGAAGTTTTATCTTGGAGTGAAAAAGAAGATGAAGCCTCCAACAAGGTAAAGCTTAAAAGGGAAGGGTGGCTGAAAACGTGTGGGGACGCATGCCTGTTCAAGGATTTAGGGACCAATGGCCTTAGTCTCACTTTATAAATTAAACTTGAGGAAAATTCCTTCAGTTTTCACAGACACATGGCAGGGGACCTATGGCAGACCAAGAGAACTTTTGTGGTAGATAAGGAGGGATGATGTTCCCACTACGGTCAAGCTAGCTCCTGGGTGATGGCGTGACCTCTTTGTAGAGGAAGAACTCCCCAGCACACTCTGTCCACTGGGAAACACACGGGTTTCTCCATATCCTATTCCTGACTCAGTCACAGCCTGGGGACATACGGAATGTTCCAGGCGAGCCTACGCACTGGAAGACAGATGCTGCCCTCCAGCCTCCTGATGCTTTGCTCTAAGAATGTCTTGTACCTGGCTCTATAATTTGCCCTTTTTGCTTTGCCAAACTTGGTAGCAAATCCACCGCATGTAGAGGGTAGAGACGAAGTGGACTCTTCGCAAACATTATGTTCCTCTTTTTTTTTTTTTTTTTAAGCTGAGCCATCCTGCTACCTGTTGGCAGCTCAGCGGCTGCTCAGCTCGGGCTGGACTCGAACCGCTGTTGCTCAGAGCTCAAACTCTTGAGCGAGCTCTTAACCAACTGAGCCACTCGGCCGGCCCTATGTTCCTCTTTAACACTTGGATTAACCCAGCGTTTGGCTTACACCCTACTTTCTTATCACAGATTACTTGGATTGGCTAATTAGTGTTTGTACTTAACAATTCTCTTCATCTCATGAAACACCATTTTAATGAAATATATGTGATTGAGATTCTGTTACTAAAAACTTTCTCACTTTTGCCTCCATGCTTAATTTCTAAACTCAACACACATACCTGTATTGCAATTGGCACATTCTTTAATTCCTCACAATATCAGCAGGTCAGTATGTGTAGTATTTTGGCCATTTTCCTAGACACCTGCCCTTAGTCAAGAATATTTTCTGAGTGACTTCTCCCACTGCCCCATAGCATCATGAGACTCCTTCCCCCTGTCTCCCTTCAGCATATTTAAATATGTAGCCAGAGTCCCTTAACATTTATTATTTACCTCTAGATAAATCATATCCATTGAATCATCACTTGTAGGTATCAATGCTGTTATGCAGTCCCACCATTAAATATCACCTCCTTAACATCTGATTCCTGTTTTCAGTCTTGTAAAATTTATCATTTTTAATATGTATGTGTTTGTTTGTTTTTTCCCCCATGTGATGCAGTTGGGGATTGACAGCATGTTCTGAAAAACATCACTGGTAAGTTAACAGCTGGCAGTTTGGGATCTGATATATTGATGATAACTTCAGTAAATGAACAGTGTTGTGATTTGGCAGACAGATCTACAGACAGGAAGTGTTTCACCTAAGTGAAGTTAAAATCTTTTCTAAATACTTCGTGTCTAAGAAGAGGAAACTCGATTTGCTTCAGGGTTTAGGTCCATTTCAATCCCATGTATCCTATTTGCCAATGCCTCTTAAGAGAAATGACATATGATTTCTTCCCAGTTGTTATATTCTCAGCTTTCATGGGGCAAGCTGGCAAAATTCAGTTTTAAGTAAGGGATAAGACCTACCCAATCTCAGTTAAAAAAAATAAATCTTGGTCTCCAACCTGTTCTTTTCATGTATGCACTTTCCTCCACTGAGGTCACCAGGACGTAGCCACTCTCCCGAGACACTGTACTATATGTGTCCTTCTCGCTCACCTTGCTGTGTGTCATCAAGCGCTAAACCACACCGGAGGTGCCTCTTCCTTATCTCTCGGATCCACCCATACCCCTGTATCCTCCAGGCCGTGCCTTCATGCACCTGCCTGCATTATTCCAGAAGTCCTAAATGCTCTGACTTTGTGTTTGTTTTCTAGTACATTCTCCACCTAGCCACCCGAGACTTTCTAAAATGCACCATGTTTCTTTCCTGCTTTAAAACTCTTCTGTGAATCCTGTTATCTGCAGTACACAATTGTTGGCATGGCATGAAAGACCCTTAAATATGGGCCCCATCAGCTTCATCTCCCATGACTTGCCCTTTTCACTTACTGATAAAAGAATACTCTGTCTTTAATTCTCCATACGTGCCTCGCTGCTTCATGTCTGCGGGTTTCATGGATGTGGTCTCCTCACTGCGCCTCCTTCCGTGCTACATCCACCTCCCTTCCCCTTTCACCCCCGTTCTTGCTGCTGATCTGCACACTCAACTGTCGTTCTTCATCTAAACCAGAGCTTAAACATCCGAAACGTCTTATCAGATAACTCTCAACTCTGAGCACTATTTATGTCTTCTTTGCAGTATTTTGTACATGTGAGTGTGTAATTAAAATGATTTATAGAGAGAAGAGTTTTCTTGGACATGGTAATGGGAAGAGACACTTCTTTATGAGAATCTAACAAAGGAAGCAAGCATATTTCAGAAATTTTATTTTAACATTTTCCAAATAAGTTGTTTTTAATAATGCAGGAATACAAAAAATAGCTATATTGAAATGTCCGTTTTCTCATTTTAATGTCGGTCACAAAATTTTCCTCTTATAGGAAACAACCATCATCGCATCCCTAAGTGTGCTGCATCTATGTTTGTGTCCAACTTTACTTTCTGTTTTTCTCAGTGTTTTAATGTATTTGTTTACATGCCTGGGTCCCCTAGTAGACTATGTGGACCTTGAGGGTAAGAATCTTCTCTGTTATAGGTTTTCAATAAAAGGTTATTGAATTGGTGTTATCGGACAGGCAGTGGTTTTTCATTTGGTTTATTTTCATGAATCTGTGAGCATTAATGTTTCTAATCATAACGAAGGAGGATGTCTAAGCCTATTTTGAAAATCTGCTAAGAAAATATGCACATATTTTTCTTCTTAGGCTTGGAGTTTCTGGGGAAACAGACATTTTACCATCATGCACCTGAGAAAGCAAATGACATTGACCTTTCTGCCTTTCCAAAAATATCGGTGATCCTTGTTCAGCAGTTATCAAAACGTATAGCTATAGTTTCCACCAGCATATTTACACTATAATTTTGATATACTTACAGAAGCCTGAACCAACTTGTACTGAAATACTCCCATTTTGACTGCATTAAGTCATTAATCGGAGAAATCCTAAGGGGTTGCTGATCACTTAATCACCAAACAAGTGCACTGGAGAATAGTCCATTGTCTTCTTGAATTACGTATTTTATAAACCTTGTTTTGCAGGCACCTGTGTTGTGATAGTTTACAAACTCAGATGGAGTGGATGGCCAGTGTCTTTATTGCCCAGGTATGGAGTCTGTGTCAACTGTCTAGTAACGTGTATAATGGTCTACAGGGAATGTTACAGTGATGGTGATTTTCTAGTTACTTTTAATAAGTTGTATGCGTATACTTTTTAATAGACGAGAATCCAAATTTATCCATTACTCTCTCTGAAACGGAGTTTACTCTCTTTGTTGAGGCATCTTTTTTGCCAGCCCAGCAGCTCCTTTGCTTAGGAAAAATGTGTTGCTTCAAGGTAAGGATAGGGTAAGAAAGAAGGGCTTACCCAAGGGGCCATCCTTCCAGAGTCCCACACTGAGCTTCCTTTTAGCAAAGTGTGCTGTCGTCTCTGTTTTCTCCCTGTGAGCTCCTACTGTCTCACCCCTGCCAATCTGGAAACAAGGAACTTCCATTTCTTTAATACGTATTGTGTTGTAGATACTTCAAAAAGAGTTAACTCATGTATCCCTTGCAACAAACCTTGCATGGCATTGCTTATGGATGAAGGAGTAAAGGTTAAGAAAGGTTCCATCATTTGCTTAGGACCATACATTTAGCGTTTTAAACCCAGAGGTGCCAAAGGCCAACACATATACTCAGTTCCCTATTTAAGTCTCCTCCTTGGAGGAGGTCTCACTTTTTAGGAGAAGGTTTCGATCATCCCATTAATAGGATTTGTTTTTTCCCTAACCTTGTCTGGCTGAATTCCCAGCAGTGCTTCCCTCAAGAGCATTGAAATTCACTGGTAACAATTTAGTTGCCACTCTTTATTACCGAGGATGTATTTCCCTGTTTCTCTTACAAATGAGAAGTTAATTCATCCCCAAATCTGGTCACTTGGTTTGAAAACCATTTTCTCTATTCATTTAATTGATTAACTTCTCCAGTGGTTAATAAACACTGTTCTTCTCAGCCTGATGCCACTATTACTTCCTGGGAATACATTTGCAGAGAAAGATTGGTTGCTAACTTTTTAGAGACTTTTTTTTTGGGTGACTTTTTAAAAATTCAGATATTCAAGTCCTACTTAAAAAAAACTAGATTTGAGGTATTTTATTAAAATTGGAATCACATAATTAAAAACTGTTACAGTGTCTATTTTGGGTGCAACTAAATTGATTTTTTTTTTTTTAATAAAGTCAGTCGACTCTAGTTGAAAATCAAGGTATAAATAGCCGGCAAGCAGAGGTTGCTCACAGGACCAGGTTATTTCTCACTGCCTCACCTATCTTGTGTTGTCTTGGCTCCAGAGACTCAGCCCGATTACCTTTTCTTTGTTCATTCCACTTCTTAGGATTATATGAACACAAAGGTCCTTTTAGATTTAAGCTCACCTCCATAGGAAAACAGGACAGTAGCAAATGTTAATATATATGTGAATACACACATACGCAAATCAACAGTAAGAGCCCCTTACAATGCGTCCTTTTGGTGCCCAGAAAGGAATACCTTTCTAATATCCATCCCCATCCCACCCCTGCCACAAAAGTCCTCTAGGTTTCAGCTAACATGTCACATCCTCAGAGAAACAGTCCCATTTTCCAGTTAGACCTTCAGGCTATAAGAACCCTTAACATCCTATACTTCAATGTTATAGCACTAATTAAAAAGCATTTGTGTGTTTAGATTTTTCATTCCTATCTTTCCTCCTAAAGTATAAAGTAAACCCCATGAGAGGAAGGACTCTGTGAGTCTTATTAGATACATATGTATATCTGCATCACAGAACTCAATGCCTTTTACAAAGTACTTGCTCAGTTAGTGTGTGTAAAACAGGAAAGAGAGGAGAAAATAAATAAGTTACCTGGTAAAATTTCAAGGAGATATTATTGTGACAATGAATAAATCAGTGAGGGAAAGGAAAGCCACTGTGTCTGAGGTAGGAAGGGCACTAATTGAGAAAGGTTCTCAGGGAATACCTTTTTGAGTAGCTGACAGATGGGTGTGAAAGGAGGGAGCCAGTCATGCAGGTATTCAGCAGCGGGGGACATTCCAGGGATAGGGCCCAGCAAGATCCTGAGCTATCATCTTGGCTTATTCCATGAACATCATGAAGGCTTATGTGAGGGAGGATGTAGAGATGAGGATGACGAGACAGACCATGTAGTCTCAGTTTAGGAGTTTCCGTGGGAAGAATATAATCAGGGCTGTAATTAAAAAATAATTGTGGTTACTTTGTTGAGGCTGCACTCTAGGGTTCAAAGGTGGAAGCTGGAAGAACAGCTAGTTATGTGGAAGAAGTTGACAGCTTGGACTAGGTTGGTGACAGTGGATCTGTTAAGATATGTTCAGATTCAAGAATATTTAAAGGTGGAGCCCATAAGTGCTTGCAGAGTGATTGGCTGTAACAGTTTGAGAGGAGTAGAACTCAAGGAAGACTCTGAGATTTTTGGCCTTGGGCAACTGGCAAATGTGACATTATCAGGGATGCAGAGAAAAATTGAGAGTTCTGTTTTGGCCACATGAAATTTGAGATGTCTATTAGACATACAAATGGTTATGCTGAGTAGCAAGCAGGTCAGATGTATGGATCAAAAACCCAGGCAAAACTTTGGGGCGGAAATGTAAATTCGGGAAAAGTCAGTATTTACATTGTATTGTAAGCCACGGTTTGAGTAAGATCTGAGAGAGAGAGAGGAGACGACAGACAAATAAGCCCTGGAATATTAAAAGTTTAAAGGTCAAGTATAACAGGAAAAAATAACCAGCAAAAGAAATGAGAAGGGTTGAGGAAGGAGGAAAAAGCAGGCGATTGGCACAGAATATTCTGTCAAGGAATTTGCTATGTAGATAAATGAGGCTGTGATTAGATAGAAACGAGATCAAGGTAGGTTTGGGGGTTTCGATTTGTTTGCCTTTAAGTTGGGAGAGTGTATATACTTTTCATGTATGCTGACGAAGACTATCCAGTAATTGGAAAAAAAATTGATAGAGGAGGAGGGAGATTATTAAACCAACAGAGCCCCTGAGCAGATATGAAGCAATGTAAGTGCATATCTGTTGATCACTGCTAAAAAAAAAAAAAAAAATCATTGTACAACAGAGAGTGTGGTATATTTGTTCTTACATGTCTGACTGTATACTCTGGCCCCCTGAACAATTATAATCACAGATATGTCTGGAGAAAAGTTATTTGTAATCAGAGCAATTACTGATTGTAAGAGAAGAGAGCCTTGCTTGTATGGCTATAGATGTAGGGGAGATTGGTACATTTCATGATGGGAAACTGAAATTCTTGAATGATTACTAATAATTTTTTGAATTAAAGCCATTAAGTTACCACATGTGAGTCAGGGAGGGGTATTAGAAATATAGAGGCAGAGTAGAAGATGAAGCCAATTGTACTATAATAGAACGTCAAGGTAACGGTGAGTGCTCACTTGATATTGAAGGTCAATTTAAAGGAAGATAAATCTCCAGAGTGGTCTTCTCCTTTCTTTTCCTCCATTAGTTGGTAGACACCCATAGAGTAAGTAGAATTGGATGACCTAGGTTTAGGGCTTGGCCAGGCAGGTGTCACGGAGGGGGCAGGAGCCCAGGACTTGAAGATACTTACAAGGAGGTGAATATACTGATTGACTATGAAATCTCAGCCAGGTTGTGAAGGAAGTGGGAAAAAATGTGGGGAGTAGAATGGGCTGAAGGACCCAAAGAGCCTAAGAATACTTAGAGGGAATGAAACTAAATTAAGTAGCTGGAAAGATCAGAAGTCAAGGTCAGAAAGTGAGAGGCAGAGCCGTGTTCATTACAGAAGTACTCACCATAGCCAAGGTAATGGAACCAACCGAAGGGTCTGTTGAGAGATGAGTGGGTCACGGATATGTGGTGTACATACACGATGGAGTATTATTCAGACTTAAAAAAGAGGGAAACCCTCTCTTTTGCAGCAACATGGATTAACCTGTAGGGGGTTATGCCAAGTGAAATAAGCCAGCCAGAGAAAGACAAATACTGCATGGTATCACTTAAATGTGGAATCTAAAAAAAAAAAAAAGTCAAACTTAAGGAACACAGTGGAAAGGTGGTTGCTGGGGAGGGGGAAATAGGTTGCTAGAAGGATACAAAACAAAAGGATACAAAACTTTCACTCATAAGATGAATAAGGCCTGAGGATCTAATGTATAACATGGTGACTATAGTCAGTAATACTGTATCATATAATTTAAAATTGCTAAGAGATTAGAACTTAAATGTTTTCACACACACAAAATATATAGGTAAATATGTTAGGTGATGGATGTGTTAATTAACTCAATGGAGGGAAATCCTTTCACAATATATACATGTATTAAATCATCACACTGCATACTTTAAATATGTTACAATTTTATTTGTCAGTTATACCTCAGTAAAGCTGTGGGAAAAGAAAATAAACGGCAAGTGGGAGACAGAAATGATTTGGGGGTGTGGTCATTGGTTGTAATAATGAAAGTCTGATCCTCGGCTGGAGGTTCCACGCAGTATAGCTTTTGAAGTCGCTTATACATGACTGTAAATGTCAGAACATACTATTCTACTTTAGAGCTAATGATTCTGCTGTTGGGAAAAATACCTCTGGAATCAATCCAGTGAGAACTAATTAGCTGGTATTCACAGCATTGTTGATCATGTCAGACAACGAAATAGTGTTTGAAAACTGCATTTGCTCTTAGGTTCCTCAAAATCTCATTTAGTATGTGTACTATCAGCAAGTAAAACTATACTTCATGCGATTACCTAATCCCTTCCCAACCAGTTTTCTCCCAGCTTTACATGTTGGGAAAAACCCAATTAGGTAATATCAAAATTATTTTTACCAAGTTTGGGACCATGACATAAAACTAATATAAACCTTGTAACTTTTGCCCTGTGATGGAACAATTGTATAATCTACCATGGTAGAGATGCTGAACCAAAGTAGATGCTTCGCTCAAATTCCAGGGCAGATCTTATGCATATACACTAAGTCTAGTAATAATAGAACCTATAATGTAGGATCATTGAGAATTAAAGGAGAAAAGTGTATGTATATTGACAAGTACAAAGTCTAACAGTATGCCCATCGATATGAATTAGCATTATAATAATGGGTACACAGTCAACATTTGTTGAAATGAATTCTGTGCTATAAAACACTACATTAAAATACTCATTGCAATAAAAAAAACAAGAATCTGTTGAATCTTAAGAGTAGAGGAAAATAAGGGTAGGCATTTAGCTATACATGTTACCAAAAGTTTTTCATTTCATTATAACATCTGTAAGCTGCTCATTTTAGAGTTGGTGTTCTGTATTTCTTTCATAGATTGTTGTCTGAAAATCAATGTGCTTTTTCCAACTTCTGACAAGTGAATCTACCCTGAGGAGTAGAAAAATCTTTAAAGATTTTTCTTTTATATGCATATCTCAAGGATTTATCACTCAAGAGCTTAAAATTTTTCCTGTGGATATTTTTCCCTGTTGCAAAATTAACTTTATCTCAGTCATATCTATAATTGCTCAGCGGCCAGAATATGTAGTCAATAATTTGAGCTAAATGTGCCACATTCTCTGTTGTACAATGATTTTCAGTATGAATGTCTGTGCACAAGGTAACATTTCTTTGGAATTCAATTAGATAAAAAAGTAACATTTGAAAAGGTCATAAAATAAGACTAATTTTTCTTCTGATAGACATGCCTTTGGTTGATTTGGGATATATACGGTCAAATTATTATGTTCACACTACACTCGTCTTTGGTGGAAAGAGAAAATGTGAATGTAGTTACTTTGATTACAGGGCCTAGAAATGTAGACAAGTACATTATTTTTCTCCCACAAAGAGATTTGCCAGTTTCCTTAAATATTTTCTCCCTTTTGGTTTGGTAAGTAGTACAGAAGGCATGTATTTGAAGCTTAGAAATTGAACTGAGACCTCAAAGCTCAGTTCACTTAAGAGTTGTACCTCCTTGAGCAATGCTGTCGCCAGAGTCGACATCATAATTACAGATGGCGTGCTCATGGAAAGCAGATCATTTGATTTGGATATATGGAAAAGGGTCCAAGTGACTATATAACATGATGTATGCTACATAATAAAATCAAACACCAATGACAAGAAATTGTGTTTCCACAGCATGACAACGATATACGGCCACCAGCTGGACAGGAACGAAAACGTTCTATAACCAAAAATCCCAAAATCGGAGGTTTGCCTCTAATTCCCATCCCTCAAGAGAGAAATGCAAGCCAAGCCCGGAGAAATATCGAGGTAGGTTAGGATTTTCTTTTCTATTAATTATAGCATTTGTTTTCTTATGTCTTACTGTGATTAAGTGCATTGCTTACTTCGTTGGTTTCCAAAGCACAGGAGTAAATCACTTTGAAAAACAGAAGAAAAGTCACATCCATCAGGAAAACATTATGAATAACCTTATGGCACTGTTTGAAGTTTTGTGTTATTCTTAACTTCTGTTAAATGATTAGCTTTAATAATGTCACTGACTACCCACTTAAATATGCACAATACCACTTACTGTCGTATCCCTGAGGTTGCCAAGCAAATAGAAGTTCTGGTGGTAAAGTCAGTCTCAAATTAGTCTTACAAGTTTACTTCTGACAACCATAGAAGGAGCCCGCGGCAGAATATGTCTGGAGCCATGGTAACTAGACTTCCGAGTAACACAATCAGATTCCAGTGGTTTGAGACCAATGGAGTGTCCCAGTTAATTTAAGGAACTGCGAGATGACCCTTGAGCATCAATAAAGATGATTTGGCATCTTTCATGAAAGCTGCTGTTTGTTTTTCTTCTCACCTTGAGGGGCGTGGAGAACACAAGTGGCATCAATCTTGACTTGAAGTTCAGTCTCTTCAGGAAAGGACATAACATAGGCTGTTTACACTCAAAACTCATTAGATACTCTGGGACTAATGCATGTTTCGGTGCCTTGATTGAGTGCCTCAAGGCAAAAAGAACAACATGTAAAAGAGATTATTTCTTCTTAGAGGCTAGGATTGGAATTAAGCTGCTTGAATTTCTTTCCAAAGACAAATACCTTTGGAAAGACTAAAACCATTTTAATTTAGTGATCAGATTTTTAAAAATATTTTTTCCATGCCTATCTTTCCTTGAACATTTATCCCACTATAGTATTCCTCTTTTCTAAAAGATAGAAGGTTTGAAAATAATGGTTTATTTCCTTTGTGGTCTGCTCGGTCCCCCTGCACTGATGTAATCAAAGGGACGAATAAGACTGAGAAATCATGAGCTTGTCTCCCCTGCCATTCTGCATTTACAGGCTTTCTTGGTAACAAACTGCTCTGCAAAACTATGGATTTCTTAGCTAACCCAGGAACTCAGGTTAGGAGACACACGTTGAATAAATGAAGCAAACATAGGGAGTAGATATGCCCTATTGTGACCCCAGGTTCTCCTGACATGGCCGTAGGATCAATTATGGAGCAAAGCGTGAGATGTATTATTAGGATCAAAATACATTACCCAGTATCTGGTAAAGAATTGGGATGATAATTGAATATAGAATAGCTTGTTATTTAATCTGAAATCCAGAATTTCAGAGAGATTTTTCTTATCATACAAAGAAATTGTTAAAGGCTCTTAAAACAATTCTATGAAATATAAATTAATGGAAAATTTATGAATAGTTAAACTCAACCATGATTTTTTTCACAAATTTAAATGTGATGTGGTGATTCAACATATTGGCAAAGAATGTTTTAAAATATTTCAATGTTGGAAAACATGTTGAAAGTTTAAAAAGCAATAAAACAAAATTAGTAAAAATTGAAAAGTTTTTCTCTGAACCGTAAAACTCCTAGAAGAAAACATAGGACATGAACTTTGACATTGCTCTTAATAATAGTTTTTGGATAAATCTCAGGCAAGAGAAAAAAAAAAGAAAAACTAATGGGACTACATCAAACTAAAAAGTTTTGCACAGTGAAGGAAACCAACAAAATGAAAAACATCCCACTGAAATGAAGATATTTGCCAATGACACATCTAATAAGGGGTTATTATCCAAAATGTATGAGTAACTCATACAACTTAACACCAAAAAAAAAAAAATCCAATTAAAAAATGGGCAGAGGACCTGAATAGACATTTCTGCAAAGATAACATACAATGCCCAACAGACATATGAAAAAGATACTCAACATCACTATTCATCAGGGAAACACAAATTAAATTATGAGATATTACCTGTCAGAATGGCTATCATCAATAGATCAACAAACAACAAGTGTTGGCGAGGATGTGGGAAAAGGGAAAAGAGAACCCTCGTGTATTGTATGTGGGATTGCAAATTGGTGCAGCCACTATGGAAAACAGTATAGAGGCTCCTCAAAAAAATAAAAAATATAACTACTGTATGACTCAGCAGTTCCACTCTGGGTATTTACCTGAAGAAATCCAAAACACTAATTTGAAAAGATATATGCACGCCTGTGTTCATTGCAACATTATTTACAACAGCCAAGATATTGAAGCAATGGAAGTGTCCATCAGTAGATGATTGGATAAAGAAGATGTGGTATATATGTACAATGGAGTATTACTCAGCCATAAAAAATAGAATCTTGCCATTTGTGACAACATGGATGGACCTAGGCAATATTATGCTAAGTCAGAAAGAGAAATATAAATATAATCTAATTTCACTTATATGTGGAATCTAAATAAAATAAAATAAAATAAATGAATAAACAAACTCATGAATACAGAACAAACTGATGATTGCCACATGGGAGGGAATTTGGGGGACAGGGTAATAAAGGTGAAGGGACTAAGAAGTACAAATTGCCAGTTATAAAAACAGTTACAGAGATTTTATAAAGTATAGCATAAGGAATATAGTCAATAATATTGTGATAACTATGTATGGTTTCAGATGAGTACTAAGACTTAATCAGGGTGATCACTTTGTAAATTATATAAATGTCTAATCACTACATTGTACACCTGAAATTAGTACTATTGTATGTCATCTATAATTGAGGAAAAAAAAATTTAAAGAAAATGTAACTGTACCATTGCAGTTGTTGTCACAAAGCATTTCCAGTACCTGTATGGCTTTATAGTTTACTGAATGAATGTGTACTCTAATCCACTGATCCAAATGTGGGTTTTAATACTTATGTATGTGTGTATATGGATAAACATTCTAGTGTTTTCAAAATATAGCTGTGGAATTCTAATACATATATGGGAGGAAAGATTTCACAAAATATTTTTGGAGGAGGAAAAAAAAACAGGAAAAGAAATGAAACAGATTTCTCTGCCATAATACTTCTGATCATCTTTAACCTCCCTGGCGGTCTGATTATGTCAGTAATTTTGTACTCAAAGTGGTACATTGTTTTGTTTGGAAATTTGTTGTTTTATATTGTAGGCCTGTAATTCTTAGGAATTACTCACTTAAATCTGTCCAAACAAGACTCTAGTAGGCATCCCAGGTATGATAAAGTTTGAAACACAAAATCATAAATTATAATATAATAAATAATTATAAAAAATAATTCTGGCAGTGAAAATTAACCCCGAGCCACACTCGGGATTACTGCCAGGGTAGTTAAGATGCAAATATTTACTGTGAATCTCAAAAAGGGGGCTGTAGGACAGAGCATTTCCTGGTCACACGGCTACAGAGATGACCTTTTCTCTCTGTGCTGTGAGCATAACACTGTAGGAATTACAGAATCACAAACATGGGACACATCCAAGCAGAAGTGAACTGGAAGAGGCAAGTTTGAAATGAGAGTCAATTTAAGGAACTAACCTGAAAGACATCTTTGATGTGCTATGTTAAACGCTTGTTAAAATGAGTTTCCATGGTCCACAATTTTAGTTGATTTTGTAGCCCTAAGATTAGTTTATAAATTCAGACATGCCACTTGTGTCAAAGGAAAGTTAGAACCTAAATCGTAGCAGTAAGCTCTGATATAAGGAGCATCAGCTTTCATATGGAATGTATTTTTTAAACTGAAATTGTGCCAATCCTCGCTTTCCCGTGAGACATTTTATTGTATTTTAGAGTGCGAGAGCAGAACTGGAAAAACTGCGGCACAGCGAAAAGCGTGACCAAGAGTCTGGGGACAGCACCTTGAAGGAGAGAGTGTCCATGGTGGCCCACTGCCTGGAGCACAGGGACGATAAACTTCGAAATCGAACCAGAAAACATCGGAGTTTCAACTGTCTGGAGGACACAGAGGCTGAGGTCCTTCCTGGGCAGCAGAGGGGCCAGAAAGGCCTGAGGACATTGAGGAAGACCGAGGACAGGAACGGCAAGGCTGCTTTGGACCCTGATAATAAGTTACCATCAAAGGTCATCGAAGAACTTAGCGTGGTTCTACAGAGGTCAAGGACCCTTGCAAAAGAGTTATAGGGTGAGAAAATCTTGCCGAAAGAAATAAAATGAATTGTCTTATACACTTTTTAATGTTGTGTACAATGTTTGTGTGCAAATCAGAAACCAAACTGTAAGATAATTCATGGTTTGTGAGAGTTGTCTTGCATATGTAAGCATTTAAAAAATATATATATATATATATATGTATATATGTGATAAGTGTAAGATTAACTTTATTTTGGTCTGAACAGAGCTTGTACAGTTCATCTGTATTAATCCTGTGTAAAAAGGCATTGGGTTACTTTGAGTGGCCATCCTTTTAAAGTAGCTGTCTGCTAGGTGGTATAATTTATGAGCAGAAATCTCAAACTGTACTGTATTGTATAAAATGCTGTTTAAATGAAGCTTATGAAGCTATAGGTAACACATTTTGCACTTTGGGAAACCTTGTATATTAAGTTACCATATGTTTTTAGGTTTACATAGGGGCCACCTGAGGGAAAAGAAAGGGAAGCACATTGAAGGAGGAGGATTGTATTGATTTTAGCGACTACCTAAAAAAACCAAGGAGGTCCGTGAAGATGTATTCTAGTTCACTGTTGACCAGAACTTGTTAATGAGAAACTGCTTGTTAAGAAAAGAGTCTAGTAACTGAGTATTTCCTAAGGGTAACATTCAGCCAACAACCATGAATAATGGCACTGACGATTCTTATTTATGGCATTAGTGAAGCAGCCACGTTATACATTCACTACACTTCAGCTCTTCGTGGGTGGCTGGTATGAAGCTTACACCGTACTGAAGAGAATGCGTGCACAAGACCTGGCATGGATGCCGTCTGCACGGCTGCTGTGCACAACACGTTTGTTTGTTTTTTTAAGAGTTCCTTACTGCTGTTTTGGTATGAACAAAATTCGTCATCCCAGGGTTTTGTTATTGTTGTTGTTTTCTTGTTGTTATTATTTTCCTTTGTATGTTCATTTCTTGTTGTTTTAAGTAAGCTTTGTAATGCGTTGCTCTGCAATGTCAGAATTAACTGGAAGTATACAGCATACAGCCATTTTGGGGTGGGAGATGGTTTAACTGTACTACAAATATGGGGGGCTACCAGGCCACACCTAGCCTCTTTTGTCTCTGTTATTAGTAGCAGTAGCCTGCTCCCCACACCTAGTGAATTATGACAAAGCCCTCTGTCTTCCATGGGAATAAGCGACTGAATTGGTGATTTTCCTAAAACAGACAATACTAAATATAGTTTATGTTAGGGACCACACTTTTTAGCAGTTTCTGTAGAATTTTATCAGATCTGGTAACTTTTTTTTGTTTTTTTAAAGATTTTATTGAGGAATTGGGGGATGGGAACAGTGCTGAGGAATCGGGGGAAGGGGAACACACAAGTTGCTGTCCTTTTGTTCTTCATTCTTGGTTGTAGAAGATGTTGCTTCACTGGCCCAAGTTGGCACCAACATTGTGCTCTTCCTGGGCGAGGCATATCAGTCGCTGGCCTCTGGACAACCACTCACTGCGGCTGCTGGCCGCTCACGCTGGCTGCTGGCTACACACGGTAGCCCATGGCAACCCACTGCAGCAGGGGCTGCAGCCTANCTCACTGCGGCTGCTGGCCGCTCACGCTGGCTGCTGGCTACACACGGTAGCCCATGGCAACCCACTGCAGCAGGGGCTGCAGCCTAGCCGTCGCCGCCTACCCACAGCTGCTCAGCCCCAAGTCGAGCTGCCATTCATCATCTTAGCTGTAGAGGGCAATGTCACTGGCCCTCATATGTGGGATCCAAACCGGGGCCCTCTGGCGTCCCAAGCCAGTTCTTAACCAACATGCCACTCAGCCGACCCCAGATCTGATGACTTTAATTACATATTATTTTATGTAGCTGAGCTTTATTCCTAGCATTTCTTTTTTATTTTTTCCCCTGTATTTTTCAGGTGTCTAATCAGAATTTGTACACAAAGGCCCATATTTTTGTTTGTCCAATCATATGACAGTAATATGCTGTTAAATGCTATGAATTTCTTCATTTTAATATACTGATCACTTATATTTGGTGGAAATAAAATTATTTCCCCTGGGTATGTGATATTTATTCTTTCAATTCCAAATAGATTGGAATTTTTTTAAAAAAGAAAAACTGCAGGTCAGTTTATGAAATAGGTGGCACTAGTGGGGCATCTTCATAGTATTTAGGGGAAAAATCTAAAATAAACTATTATTCCTAATAAATAATGTTGACGTTATGAAGCAAGGAGGCATATGAAAATTAATGTTTGGCAATGAGAAGGTATCTGGAGTTTTTACCTGTATTATCTGAATATTTTTGAAATGAGTTTAAAATCCAATGGTTTCCATTTGCCTTCCTTTCCTGTGCAATTGTCTCCATTTTTCAAGTGTAAGATAAGGGCTAATGATGACATCTCATGTTTTAAGTAAAAATTAAAATGGTTTTACAAGTCCACCTGAACGTGACTGTCTCTGTTATTTTTAGAAGTTGAAGATTATTATGAAATAAGTCAAATAGATTTTTCTTTCCTCTTTTCTCTCTTTGAAAATTTGAATTTAATATATAATTTAGACTAGCTCTGTCCTTTTTTCAAATATATCAGTATGAATATTATTCTATTTTTAAATGTTGAATATATGCACACACTACACAAACAGATTGACCGTACTCTAACTTTCATTTTTGTAGCCCTAAAGTTAATTACTAGACATGGCTTTTAAATATTTGACTTCTAAACAAATCATTACCTGATGATTTATCAAAGTGGCACTGAGAATTCAAAACTAAGCAAAAATAATTGAAGCAAAAATATGACTTGTTTACATAACTATATTAGCTGCCAATTTGTGTTGTTTATATGAGAATTTTTTACATAAACTGTATTGGAAAAGGAAATATTTTTGAAAATGCATCACATTTATTTGGACAGATTGTGATACCCAAATAATTGTGTGTTTTCTCAAACTTTTGATAATCACTCTGGGGAAAAGATTAAAACATTCACCATCTCATCAAAATTTGTGCCAGGATTTTTCATATTATCATTTGCTCAATGAAAGACAGAATTATGTTTATAATGTGAAGAGTTTTCTGTCGTGTGTACAGTCATCACAGTTACCATATCTTAGAGATCTTTACCTGATCTTCATCCTTTCAATAAAAATACCTTGAGACATGAAAATGAAAATACAACATCCCAAAACTTATGAGATGCAGAAGAAACAATTCTAAGAGGGAAGTTCATAGCGATAAATGCCTACCTCACGAAACAAGAAACATCTCAAAAAAGCAACCTAATTTTATACCTCAAGGAAACAGAAAAAGAAAAAGCCCAAAGTTAGGAGAAAGATGGAAATAATAAAGAACAGAGGGGAAATAAATGAAATGGAGACTAAAAAGACAACAAAAAAGATCAGTGAAACTAAGACATGGTACTGTGAAAACATAAACAAAATTGGCAAAACTTTAGATAGACTCACTAAGAAAAAAGGACTCAAGTAAATAAAATCAGAAATGAAAAATTAGATGTGTCACTTGAATACAAAGGATGTACTATGAACAATTATCTAACAACAATTGGACAGCCTAGAATGAATGAATTCCTGAAAGCATACAACCTTCTAAGACTGAATTATAAAAAAACTGAGCAGACTGATTACTAGTAAAGAGATTGGTCAGTAATCAAGCACTTCCAAACAAGCAAAATCCAAGATTAGACAGCTTCACTGGTGAATTATATTAAATACCCAAAGAATAAATACCAACCCTTATCAGACTCTTCCAAAAAACTAGAATAAGAGGGAACACTTCCAAACTTTTTTTATAAGGTCAGCATTACTTGGATACCAAAACCAGATGAGGACACAACAACAACAACAACAAAAAATCATAGGCTAATATAAACATAGATGCAAAAATCCTCAAAAAAATATTAACAAACTAAATTCAACAATACATTAAATGGATCCTACACCATGATCAATTGGGATTTATTCCAGGGATGCAAGGATGGTTCAACATCTGCAGAAACAATCAATGTAATACAACACATTAACAAAATGGATAAAAATTATATGATCTCAATACATGCAGAAAAAGTAGTTGATAAAATTCAACATCTATTTATGGTAAAAATTCTCAACAAACTGAATATAAAGTGAATATACCTCAACATAATAAAAGCCATCTATGATAAGCCGATAGCTGACATCATACTTAATGGTGAAAATCTAGTTTTTCCTCTAAGGTAAAAAACAAGACAAGTATGTCCACTCTTTCCAGTTTTATTCAACGTAGTATTGGAAGACTTAGCCAGAACAACAGCAAGAAAAAAAAGTAACAGGCATCCAAATCAGAAAGAAAGAAGTAAAACTCACTATTTGCAGATAACATGATATACATAGGAAACTAAAGACTCCAAAAAAAAAAAAAGAAAAACCCTGTTAGAAATAATAAATTTAGTAAAGTTGCAGGATACAGAATCTGTATACAAAAATCTGTTGCATTTGTATACACTAACAATGAACTATCAGAGAAATTAAGAAACCAATCTCATTTACAATTGCATGTCAAAGAATAAAATTCCTAGAAATAAATTTAATCAAGGTGGAAGGCCAGTACACTAAAAACTGTAAGACACTGATAAAAGAAATAAACACAATTAAAAGGAAAGGCATTTTGTGCTCATGGATTGGAAGAATCAATATTGTTAAAATGTCCACACTACCCAAAGCAATCTACACAACCAATGCAAGCCCTAGCAAAACTCCAATGACATTTTTCACAGAAATAGAACAAACAATCCTAAAATTGGTATGGAACCACAAAAAGTCCTGAATAGCCAAAGCAATCTTGATAAAGAAGACAAAGCTGAAGGTATCATACTTCCTGATTTCAAACTATTGGGTTGTTGGAAAAGTCATGATGCATGTTGCAACAGATAGCACTAGTTCATTTTTGGAAGTACTAGGGTCATTCATATCTATGTTATTGCTATGCCATTTGACAGGTGACAGTTCTAGCTTCATTCTGAAACAAAAATTGAGTAATTTGGTTGAGTTTTGGAGATTTTACAACAACTTGAAGATGGAAGAGCAAACTGTGCATTTTTGCCATATTTTACTGTTTTACTTCCATAAAGGGAAGAATGAGCGTCAAGCTTGTGAAAAGTTGCATAAGTTTATGGTGACAGCGCTCTACAAGAACATCAGTGCCAACGATGGTTCATGAAGTTCTGTGCTGGTGATTTTGATCTCAACGACACTCCTTGGTCAGGGAGGCCCACCGAGGTTGATGATGACAAAGGCATTGATTGAGTTAAACCCACGTTACACGACACGAGTGATTGCAGAAACATTGAACATCCATCATTCAAGTGTTCACGACCACCTGAAGAAGCTGGGATACATAAGCAAGCTCTATATTGGGTTCCACATGAACTCAAAGAAGTTCATTTGACAGCACATATAAACATCTGCAATATGCTCATTAAACATGAGAAAATGATCCTTTTTTGAAGCAACTGATAACTGGTGATAAGAAGTGGATTGTTTACAACAATGTAGTGCGCAAACGGTCTTGGTCCCGATGTGATCGATGATTCACCTCAAACATCATCGAAAGCAGACATTCGTCAGAGGAAGGTTATGCTGTCAGTGTGGTGGGATTTTAAAGGTGTCATGTTTTTCGAGCTCCTACTGAGGAACCAAACAACCAATTCAATTGCATACTGTTGGCAATTGAACAGTTTGAACGAATCCATCATCCAGAAACGTCCAGAGCTCGTTAATCGTAAAGGAGTTGTGTTCCATCGTGACAATGTGAAACCACACATAAGTTTGATCACTCA